TGTGGGGACTAGGAGGGCATCTGGCCATACTGATCCCCTTGTCACATTCTCCTGGCATCCTAGCCAAACCTTGTTTCTTTCCTTCCCTCTTCTCCCTCTTCCCTCCCTCCCCTTTTTCTCTCCCTCTTTCCTTTTGCTAGGCAAGCTTTCTACCACTTAGCTATATCCCCAGACTTTTTAAAAATTTTAAGACAGGGTCTCGATAAGTTGCCCAGGCTGGCCTCAAACTTGCTCTTCACCTGCCTTAGCCTCCTCAGTATCTGGGGTTGTAGGCATGTTCCAGCCTTGGTGTCTTGAGTTCCAGCCCAGCCATGTCAGATCATAAGGTAAACAGACCTCCAGGCTCTTGTTCTTGGCCGTGGTCTGCCAGGGGTGGGAAGTTGATACTTTTACAGGTGGCCTGGGTGTAGTGGCTCTTGAGCCAGCCATTGGAGAAAGACTTGTATTCAGCTCTTTTGGAAAGGGCCCGGGCTGTGAAGTAGGTTGTGGTCCTGAAGCTGGGCCTTTTCATGTCATCTCAGCCTCCTAGGGAGCTCTACTGTGCTTCCAGGAGGGAGATTAGCCTCAGGACCAGGCAGGGGCCCAGGCTGGACACCTGGCTGTGAGCAGCACCTCTGTCTGGGCTTGCTCTAATTCACCTTGGTTGCCACTTTGAATGAGCATCCCACAGGGTACCTACAGACAAAGTGTCAAAGTCTGCGAACTGCACCTTCTACTGGGGTTGAGAAAGCAGGCACCTGGGTCTTAGTGTGCTGAGCATGTGGGGGTGGGGTCATGTGGCAGGATGAACTCACCGCAGTTCCTGTCTCAGCCTCAGGGTCAGGGGAGCTTCCCAGAGGAAGCAGTGTCTGAGACTTGAAGGACTTGGCCAGAGGAAATGAGTGGGAAGGCATCATAGGCAGTGGTACATCTTGCTTAGAGACTAGAAGCAAAGTGGGAATAACACGTTGCAGGGCCTGACTGTGTGGCTCAAGCATAGCATGCTGAGAGAGCTGGCAGGAGCCCAAGTCTGCAGGAACTTGTGAGTGAGGTAGGGAGTTCAGACTTTGTCCCACACAGCTTTTTTGGTGTTCACCTGGAGCTCAGAGCCTTATTGGAGTCCCTTTCCCTTGGGGGCGGGGGAGGTGCATGAACTTCAACTCCCCTGCTTCCTAGTGCTAAGTTGGCAGACCTGGGGTGGCCCAGGTTTAAGAGCAGGACTGAGGAGCATAAGTCTGCAAGGGTGTTATGCAGTCAGCCCTCACCTCCAGGTCAGAGCTGAGTCCCTGTGGCCACTGGGGTCAAGCTGAGCACCTCCTCCTTGGCTCACAGCAGTCTTTTTTTCTCAGAGGAACACAGTGAATGTCCCAAATGGCTGGAGGGTGGCCCAGCCCCCTCAGTGGCCGTGGTCTGGCCTCTTGCCTGTGGTGAGGGCTCACTGGAGTCTCCTGGGTGGGCCAGTGTTGGACATGCAGCTGGCAAACTATATGTGCTGGAGCTGCTATCCCCGCAGAGCAGTGACCAGAGCACCTTCCTTTCTAGCACCTTCCCCTAATGCATCTGTAGAACCCATTTGGGTTCAGAACTGCTTTTTTTCCTTGGCTCACACATTGCTTTCTTCTGTAGAGGAAGTGCTTCTCGCCATAGATGTTTTCTTGGAAGCCTCATTAGTCTTAAGCCACTGATAATGACTCTCGGCCTTGTCTTCAGCCCCCGGGACTCATGGTGCGGGTCAAGGAGTAATTGCAGCAGAGGAGCCTGGAGAAGGGAAAAATAAAGAGTGCGTGACAGTCAGTCTCAGAGTGACAGGACGGGTTGCAAGAGCGGGGAGCATGGTGCTGTGGGTTTCCTTTTACAATGTGCTTGTATCCGTTGTTAGAGGCCTGCGGATGATCCTGGGGCGAGCTGCCTGCAGGGGTTTCTTGGTACTTCCTCTTCCCTGCGCCTCTGGAACTTGGCCCAGTCCGTAGGTTGGCAACCTTTGGAGAAGGTGGCTTTCTTCTTCCTTGCTGTGAGGCAGGCCAGGCTGACTTCCTTCCACTCGAGGGAGAGAAGTCGGGGAGGGGTGGAAGAAAGGGAGGAGGTGACTCAGTCCTGTCCCTGGGTTGCAGGCTGGGAGATACCACCAGTGGGCTTGCACAGCTGGAAGCCCCTCCCGCCCCCAGCAGCAACCAGAACTGGGCCGGGGTGGGGCAGCAGGGGCGGGATTGCAGGGGTAGGAGAGCCCGGGCCCAGGGAGTGGAGGAGGCATTGTATCTGGTGCTCTGCAGCTGGACCTCACAAGCCTGCTGGGCCCTCTGGGGTGTGGTCCCTTTCCTGCTTCCTGGAAGATGAGTGTACTGCAGAAAGGTGTGTGCAGTGGGACCTGGGGTCTTAATGCTGTGACATGGGAATGAGGCATAGGAGCTTGGTCTTGGAGAGGGACCTCTGCCTTTACGTAGCTCTCTGAGGGAGGCTAAGTTTACCTACAAAATGGAGGTTAAAAGAGCAATGCCTGCCTTATAATGCGATCCTGGGAATTGGAAAGAACGCAAAACACTTAGGACCCTCCTGGCATAGGCACACAATTATTATTGCTACTGCTACTCAGTGTCCTCAGCCTGGGTGATCCCCTCATGTTTCTGCCTAGGTTCTCAGACATCTTCCACTCTTCTCCTCCCTCAGATGATGCTCTTTCTTCTCTGGGGGACCTAGGCCTGGTGTCTGATCCCTGGCACTCTCAGCTCTCTAGTGGGGATGACAGAGAGGCATCTGTGGCAGGAAACTTCTGGGTTGATTCAGCCTCCCCTAAACCAGGCCCCCAGAAACCTACTGTGATGTCCTGAATGATGGCCCTTCTTGAAATGCAGGGCTGTCATTGGGTAGGAGGCTGAGCAGCCAAGCCCAGCCCTCCTGACCCTGTATCTGGCCTCCAGCTCCTCTCCTGAGCAGGAACAGCCAAATCCTGGAGCCCCATTCACAAACTCTACTCTTGTCTCCCCCAAACCCTGCATCAGGCACTAAGTGGCCTTCCCTCTATCAAGCATTTGTGGCAGTGCCGCAGACCTGCCTGCCATGTGGCCTCCCCTTGCTTTAGGCCCCAAGCCCATGCTGTGGCTCACAGGGCGACAGGGCTGTGATGTGGGAGGCATGGTGCATGTGAGCACCCCAGAGCTTGCAGCAAACCCCTGGAGGCACGTGGGCCTCGTGGGCTCTTGACCCACCGCTTTCTGATTTGCTTTTGCAGACACACACTGTATTTCCAGAGCACTGGCCTTGAGCCTCCCGAGGAGAGGCAGAGCCAGACAGTCCCACCCTGTGGCATCACAGAGGCACATTCAATCTAGGGCTGGTTTTTGGGTTTCTGCTCTGAGTTGTGTCGGCTGCCAGGGAAAGAGGATTTTAAAGCAAGAGGAAGGGATTTGTTCAAAAGGTGTTTCTCTGGTCCCCAGCTCTCCCTTCTTGCCCAGATTACCCCTCTGCTAAATGTTCTGCTGGTCTAAACTTCCATAAATAACGACAAAGGGATTGCATGCCAGCAGGGTCTCTCACCACTTTCAGGGCCCAGAGCTGAGGAAGGAAATGGAGGAGGAAGTTACTGTCCTTTTGGGTGCTGGGTGAAAGTGAAAGACAAGGAGGGGGCCTCCTGTGAGTCACACTAGGCAGGCTGGCAGGCCTGGGAGCAGAGCCAGAGCTGCGGAAACGTGCAGAGGAGCGATAACACTGGACGAAGGGCGGGGCCAGCACTGGTATAGACCGGGCTTTGTACCTGTCCAGCTCCTGCCCTCTGCTGGTTTTTTGCTTAACAGTGACCCGGAGCATCCAGGGAATAAGGTCACCTGGACCTGCAGATTTATTTTCCAAAGCAGCCTGAGCTTGCCAACCCCTCCTTCCCCTCCCAGTCCTAGGGACCGGGACCAGAGTATTACTTTGCCACTACCAAGTAACCCACTTTCCCATTCTTACCACCTTCCTAAGAGAAAAAAAAAATCTTTCTGAAGAAAGTCTTTGAAAAGTACATGCAAGCAGCTATGTCAGTTATAAGATAGAGGCCTGGATTCTGTTCTGTAGCTGGATCAGTAGAGCAGCCTTTTTAAAAAAATCAAGTTAGAGGGGCTGGGGTGTGGTTTGGTGACAGAGCACATACTCAGTTTATTTGAGGCCCTGGGTTCCATCCCTAGTAAGTGCCCTCCCAAAAACTCAAGTTATCAAACCAAAACTGTGAGCACTTTCATCATGACATAATGGAGAAACCTTCTGGACTTAGGTTCTAGCAATCTGCACCTCTCATATCCAAGGTAGAGTGTTTGCTCAGAATGCCAGATCTCTTTAGCACTTGCGGGGGGTGCCCTCAGCTGCCGATCAGCTATTGGGCTAGATTGGGCCTCCAGCAAGCCAGGGCTGCAAAACAGGTTCTTTGCTAGTTGAGAAAGACTGTGGTAGCCAGAGCCTCACCCAACAGCTCTTCCCAGGGGTGGGGCCTCACCTACATGCCTCTGAGAGGCTGGCCCTTGGGCCCTGGACTCTGAGACGGCCTGCTGGGGCTGCACTGGAGAGGTGGCTGTGCTGGGAATGAACCCTGTCCTTCCCACTTCCTGTGTCTGGGATGTGCTTGGAATGTCAGGAGGAGGCACTGTCTGGGCTCTGGTGGGAAGCTATTGCATAGACAGATGTGCAAGGAGGACTCAGCCTGACCACCCAGGCTGGGGCCTGGGTTAGGAAGACAAGAAAGCTCAATGCAGCCTTTTCCCAGCTTGCCTCAGGGTCTCAGGCTAGATGTCAGCCCTACTTTCCCCCTCCCCATGTGCCTTTGTGCAGTGTACAGATCACACAACCAAATGCAGCAGTTCTGGAGCCTCACCAGGGGGTGGTGGCACAGAGTGATGGAGCAGCTCAGAGACACTGCGGAGCCTGCTGCCTTCCTGGCAGCTCCCCCGTGGGTCCCGGCTCCTCTTTCACTGGTGCTGCTGTGGAACTGGAGGCCTTGGGGTGCTGACACCAGGGATCTGTAGCTGATGCTGTCACTGCTCTCCTCTCTGCAGCCTCCAGGACTCTGTGGAGCACCATGAACTGGGAATAGCAGCTTCGTCAAGAGCCTGTCTGGAAGAGGAAGGAAGAACAGGTCTCTGCCTGTGCCTGATTCCATTGTCCAGCATCTTTGTCTATTCCCACTCTGTCCTCACTGGTGCCAGGACTAGACTTCTAGCCGGACCTTTTCCCAGGGGATGGGCAACTGGTGAAGTAGTTCTCACTGCTGGGGCTCAGTTGGCCACACCATGAACCTCCAAGCCCAGCCCAAGGCTCAGAACAAGCGCAAGCGTTGCCTCTTTGTTGAGCAAGAGCCAGCTCCCAAGGAACAGCCGCCTCCCCTGCAGGCCCCACCACAGTCCATCCGCGTGAAGGAGGAGCAGTACGGGGCTCACGAGGGTCCGGCAGGGGCTGCCTCCACCTCTCAGCCTGTGGAGCTGCCACCTCCCAGCAGCCTGGCCCTGCTGAACTCTGTGGTGTATGGGTCTGAGCGGAACCCAGCAGCTCTGTTGTCCCAGCAAGTGGGCTCAGTGAAGTGGCCCAACTCTGTGATGGCTCCAGGGCGGGCTCCAGAGCGGGGAGCAGGTGGGGGTGTCAGTGACAGCAGCTGGCAGCAGCAGCCTGGCCAGCCGCCACCTCACTCCACATGGAACCGCCTGTCCCTCTACGGTGGACCCAAGGGAAGCCCTCATCCCAGTGTCGGGGCCTCTGCCTACTATAACCACCCTGAGACACTGAAGCGGGACAAAGCTGGGGCCTCACAGCTGGACCGCTATGGAAATGCGGTGCGGCCCATGATGCCACAGAAAGTGCAGCTGGAGGTGGGGCAGCCTCAGGTGCCCCTGAACTCTTTCCATGCAGCCAAGAAACCCCCAAACCAGACACTGCCCCTGCAGCCCTTCCAGCTGGCTTTTGGCCACCAGGTGAACCGGCAGGTCTTCCGGCAGGGCCCGCCACCCCCAAACCCTGTTGCTGCCTTCCCCCCACAGAAGCAGCAGCAACAGCAACAGCAGCAGGCCACCCTGCCCCAGATGCAGCTCTTCGACAATTTCTACTCCATGCAGCAGCCGCCCTCTCAGCAGCCCCAGGACTTTGGCCTGCCACCAGCAGGGCCACTGGGGCAGTCCCACCTGACCCACCCCAGCATGGCCCCTTACCCCTTCCCCCACAACCCAGATATGAACCCAGAACTGCGCAAGGCCCTCCTGCAGGAGGCAGCCCCGCAGCCTGTGCTACCTCAGCCCCAGATGGCCTTTCCCCGCCGCTCCCGCCGCCTCTCGAAGGAGGGCATCCTGCCTCCCACCGCCCTGGATGGGACTAGCACCCAACCTGGGCAGGAGCACACAGGCAATCTGTTTCTTCATCATTGGCCTCTGCAGCAGCCGCCTCCTGGCTCCCTGGGACAGCCCCATCCTGAAGCTCTGGGATTCCCAATGGAACTGAGAGAGTCACAGCTGCTGTCTGATGGGGAGAGACTGGCACCCAATGGTCGGGAACGGGAGGCCCCTGCCATGGGCAATGAGGAGGGCATGAGGGCAGGGGGGACAGGGAACTGTGGACAGGTGCTACGAGGTGGGGTGATCCAGAGCACAAGACGGAGGCGCCGGGCTTCCCAGGAGGCCAATTTGCTGACCCTGGCCCAGAAGGCAGTGGAGCTGGCCTCGCTGCAGAATGCAAAGGTGAGATTAGCACAGAGGGGCCAGACCTGGCAGGGGCTGGGGAGAAGGGTAGCAATGCTAGTAGGCTCACAATGACAGTTCTTTCAGTTCATCGAAGGAAATTTAGGAACTTCTCCATGCAGAGAACCCCGCACAAGGCATTTGTACCCGAGGGAAAGCCAAGCTTTATACACCAAGATGATTGACAGACAGGAAAGTGTGGTAACCCAAGGACGGAGAGTAGGGGAATAAAAGACCATTTCTAGATCCAATATGCTAAAAGACAAGGATATGATGTGGTTACACAGTGGTTGTGTTTGTCGGGGTACATCGGAATGTGATTTAAAATAGTCCTGTTTATTGTATGTAAATTATACTGCAATACAGTTCATTTTTTAAAGAGATAATAGTGATAGAATAAATAGATAAGTGCACTACATTGTGCTTGGAGTTTTTAATACCTGATCACAAATAATTTATGATCCAACTCAGTGAGAAAAGGTTCTGTCACCTGTCCCCATCTTCCAGTGAGAGAAGCTGAGCCCCAAGTGGGATCTCCCAGGTTGTGCAGCTGGAATGGAAGCCTTATGTCTACCCCGAGAGCCATCATTTGCTTTTCTTTCACCAGAAATCTCAACTGCTGATGGCCTTTAGGGCCAGGCTGATCTGTGGGTGGATGTAGTTTGTCCTGTGTTTAAGGACAGTCAGATTCCACTCTTGCCAGATACCCATGGAGAAATCGATACAGAAATTACCCTTTACCTTGCCACAGCTTCCTTGCTAACTTTCTTTTGGAGAGATTTTTTTAAAAAAAAAATTCAGATGCTATGTAATGTGCCACACGCTGTGCAGACCAAATGACACATGTTTGTGAGCCTCTTGTGGCCTGAGATGGCTTTGTGGGGACCTCTGCTCTAGATGGAAGCAGCCAGCAAAAGAGAGGCTACAGAGCATTTGGACTGTGGTAGGAGAGGTGGTCAGGGAAAGGCCAGGTTGCCAGAGAAAAGTGGGATCCACGGTGGGTATTTGAGTTCCTGGAGTCAATAGTTTAGCAAATCAGAACTCATCTTCCAAACCTCTCCCTTCCTCTCAACCCCCTCAAACCCTCTTTTCTCCAGGATGCCAACAGCTGTGAGGAGAAGCGGAAAAGTGTTCTGACCTCAACCACCAAGTGTGGGGTGGAGTTTTCTGAGCCATCCTTAGCTGCCAAGCGAGCCCGGGAGGACCCTGGGCTGGTACCCCTCATCATCCCAGTATCTGTGCCCGTGCGGACTGTGGACCCAGCTGAGGTGGCTCAAGTCGGAGGTGTTGATGAGGAGGGCAGGGATCCAGAACAGCACCACACTGAGCACAAGCCATCGGTTATCGTCACCCGCAGGCGGTCCACCCGCATCCCTGGGACAGATGCTCCGGCTCAGGTAAGAAGCTTTTCTTCCAGACCCCTCCAAGGCATGCGTACTCCCTGGCTTAGGACCCTGTGGGAAGCAGGACGGTGTGACAGTGTTAGAGGGTTTCAGGGAACCTGTGGTGATACTATTTTTATTTTCCAAACCAAACTTCTGGATATATGGGGGATGAATCAGGTTTATACTTGAAATTGTGACCATTTGGGAAAATCTAGGATGTATGAATCTCTTTTGTTTTCGGTCAGCAAATTTTGTCTGGTTTCTAATGTGGTCCAAAGCCCTCTGCTCCTGGGACGCATTGGAATATAGAGATGTTTGCGCATTCTGTCAGGACTGAGATGTATACCTTAAAATCCCTACCAGGACTGAGGCTTTGTCTATTTTTTCTTTTACTCATATCATTATTTGTTTTGTGGCAATACTATTAGATAGATACTTATTTAGAACTGGATTAGATACTGTATCATTAGGAAAGCTTTCTTTTTATCTTTAGTCCTATTTTACGTTTTAAAATCTGCTTTTGTTTAAAGTCTACTTTTCCTTAACTTTGTTTTGGTTAGTATCTGCATGGTGTATCTTTAATCCTTTTACTTTCCATCTTTTCTGTATTAAGGAATACTTTTGAAGTAGAATACAATTAGAGTTTGTTATACTCTAACAACTTTTGTCTTTTAATTAGAACATCACTGCAGTTTACACTTTTCTATTATTCACTAATAAACATTGTATATATAACATACAAGATGATGTTTTTATCTTTTTTTCTGTACCGGGGATCAAACTTGGGTTCTTATGCTTGCGAGGCAGGAGCCAGAACCACTGAGCTAAATCCCTGGCCCTTGATGGTGCTTTGATATAGGTATACACTGGAATGGCTAAGTCAAGTTAATTAACAAATTCATTATTAAGATTTTCCCCCCTCCCATACTAGTAATTTAACCTAGGGCCTTTGAGCAAGAGCCCTTAAATTTTTGTTGTTGTTGTTAAAAAACAGTTTGAGGCAGGGTTTTTGCTGTCTGGCTGTTTACCAGTTCTCTTTCCTTGACAAGCCCTAAACTCCAGCCTTTATGATGTTAGCTTTTTGAATTTGTTGAAAGCTCTTCTCAGTTTCTTAGTCTCTTGATTGCCTCTTCTAGTAATGGCATCCACTTCTAGGGAAAAGGCAGCCCCAATGATGGGCTCACCTCCTCAGCTTTCTTTTCTCAACCCTGCCTCCCTCTCATTGCCATCCTGTTTGCTTTCTGTTACCTTCAGGAATGTGCTTTTTGCATTGAGTCCAGATTTCCTAGTTCTCAGGTGAAGAGTTGTCTGTGTGCCTCACCTCTATTACAAGAAGAGGGGCTCCATTTTTGTGAGATAATTAATCCAAGGTGATTCCTCTCTGGTGTCTTGTTCTGTCCTTGGGAAACACTTGTGGTAGAGGCTGGAGGCTGGCCAGTTTGTCCTGAGAGTGGCAGGAAGGAACCTGAGCAACCACACAGCTAGGCCCTGCCATTTCACAGATGACGAAATAGGTCCAGAGAGGGTTAGAGGCTGTATGAATATTTTTTTATTACCGTAACTAAGTAACAGAGGCAGGCAAATGTACGTAGAAAAATAGTTTACTTTGGCTCATGGTTCTGAAGGTACACAGCCCAGGGAACTTACCAGATATGACAGCCTTCTTGCTAACAGAGTCCCAAGGTGGTGCAGAGCATCACAGGGCAAGACAGGGATCGTACGTGATATCTGCATGTCAGATCCCTGTCCCCCTTACAAGGCTACCAGGATCCAACTGTGGGACTCTCCACTCTAATGACCTCATCTAAACCCACCCACTTTTAGAGGCCTCACCTCAAGGTGCCTTACTGATGAAGTCTCTATCCTTTAACATGATGAATATATGCCTTTGGGGATTAAACTCCTGCACGAGTCTGTGATGGGGTATAAACCATATTTAAACCTTTGCTCTGGCTGGGAGAGTAGCTTAATGGTAGAGCACTTGCTTAGCATGTGTGATGCCCTGGACCTAATTTTCAGTGCTGAAAACAAAACAAAACAAAACAAAAACCCAACACCCACTGCAAGCCTGAGCACTGACTTAAAGTCCTGTAGTAAGGTAATGGCCATGCTGGATCTGGAATTTGCATTTCCTGAATCTCTGAAAGAGTTTTTACTACTCTAGGCTTTGGGGTCCTTATTTGTGGTTGTTTATTTTTCTTTGTATTGTAGCCATTTTCAATCACGCATAAAAATAGAATGGTACAGTGAGTGAATGTTTTGCTGTCATCCAACTGTCATATCAAAAGACAGCCAATCTTTTTTCATCTGTGCCTGTACTTTTCTTGGGTTGTTTTGAGGCACAACCCAAACATTGTACCATTCCATTCACAAACACTTCAGTTTTAATCTGCATAAGGTCAGATACCTACATATGGTCTCTATATTTCTTTTTCTATCACAATCTCATTACCATTATCACACCTAAAAAAAATTGTCGGATACTCCGAATAACTTAAACGTCCTTATAAAATTACAACCAGTTACAGCTGGCTAAGTTGATACTGGGTTTCTTGTCTAGTAAGTTAGGGGGCTGCTTTAGCTCTACTGTCATTTTTTCCCCTTGTATAATCAATATTATTCCTCTGTGGGCAGAAGAATGAGTATTTTCATTTCATTCTACTCTGTAAAAGAGGGCACATATGAGTAAAGGTCCTGGCCAGGGCCTTCTGTAGGAGGTGTCATAGGAGCTGGAGCCTCAGGGTGGAGGGCCCTGTGTTCCCAGGCCTGCTCAGGAACCGTGGCCAAGCTTACCTGTCGTACTGTGTAGCAGGAGAGAGCAGGGTGCTGCTCACCTCTGGAGGGCTCTGTTGTCTGCCTTTTTGAGACTCTAAGGGTGGAGCGAGGAAAGGCCTCTGTCCCCTTACCTGAGGCACACCATTCAGGGAGAAGTACGAACTAGGAAAGCTCTTTTGACAGCACGAGTGGACTAGCCTTTCTTAGTAGATCTAATATTCTGAGAACAAAAGACCTGTGTGTTCGGAGTTTCTCCTATTATATTTTGTGATCCCTTTCCCTATTGTGATCACAGTAGGGGCTTACATCTACTACAGAGCCTGATAACAGCAATTACTGAGTAATTGCTCTGTGCCGGGATAGATTCTCATTGATTTCCATGTATTATCTCATTTAATCCTTATAGCCCCTATATTAAATAGGTCATTATTCTCATGTTAAAAATGAAGATGCATGTACCTGTGCAGGGTGCACACACCTATAATCCCCGTACTCTGGGGGCTGAGGCAGGCGACTCATGAGTTTGAATCCAAACTAGGCAATTTAAGGAACTTAGTGAGACCCTGTCTCAAAATAAAAAAGGGGTGGGGATGTAGCTCCGTGTGAAGGTCCTGAGTTTTTTGGTTTTTTTAAAGATGCACACAGAAATTATGTAATTTTAAGTGGCAAATAAAGGTGATAGATCCCAATCCAAGCAACGCAGCACCACAGCCTTGGCCCTTCGTGGTAGTCCTGCCCTGCTGCATTGTGCAACAGGGGTGAGGAACTATGGCCTGGGGGCCAAACCCGGAGCTATGAGTGGTTTCTACATTTTTATGGGATTTTTTTTTAAAGGTAAAAGGGAAAGAAGATATAACAGAGACCTCCCGTGAGCCGCCAAGCCTAAAATACTTCCTCTCTGGCCCTTTCTAGAAAAGGTTTGCTGACCTCTGCCTTAGAGGAGACGGTGTGTGCGAAGGGCTTTTGGGTGTGTGCTCCATTTCAAGCTTGGCTCGGTGGGTGCTGTGTGCAGGCGGTTCCACAGGGGAGACTGGCAGGCTGTGGTCAGGACTTCAGTTTTCCTGAGACACAAGGGCCTGAGCCAGCTTTGATCTGTTTCCTTTGCTAGGCTGAGGACCTGAATGTCAAGTTGGAGGGGGAGCCTTCTGTGCGGAAACCAAAGCAGCGGCCTCGGCCCGAGCCCCTGATCATCCCCACCAAGGCGGGCACTTTCATTGCCCCTCCTGTGTACGCCAACATCACTCCCTACCAAAGCCACTTGCGTTCTCCTGTCCGCCTAGCTGACCACCCCTCTGAGCGCAGTTTTGAGCTGCCCCCCTACACGCCTCCCCCCATCCTTAGCCCCGTGCGGGAAGGCTCCGGTCTCTACTTCAATGCCATCATATCAACCAGCAGCATCCCAGCCCCTCCTCCCATCACGCCAAAGAGCGCTCATCGCACCCTGCTCCGATCAAGTGAGTGACTCCCACCCCATCGGTGACCGTGGGGGAACGGGCACTGGACAGGGAGGCAGCTCAGCCTAGGGTTTGCTGGGATTTGGGCTGGAGGCTCTGCTCTTGGAGAAGGGACTCCACTGTCTCCTCTGAGGAGAATTACAAGGACAGGGGTGGGGTGGGGATGGAGTCGGCCTTACTGCGTGGATTCAGGTCCCTATTCTGCCATTTACGGCCACATCCCCTTATGCAGGTCATTTAAACTCCCTGTGCCTCAGTTTCTTGAGTACTAAAAAGGGGATTAGTAGTTCTTGGTTGATGATGAAATTGCCGATATTCAGCTATTTGGGGGATGCACAAATGGCAGTTTCCTGTGGTTCAGCCTCCTAGGGGTGTGGTGAGGACCAGAGGCATTAGCAGGCCTAAAGCCCTTACCAAGTTTGTTTAATGTAATGAGGCAGACCTGGGTCTCTTGAAGAGTCAGTCATTTTGGACAGGAGCATTTTTGGAAGTGTTTGGCTGGCCTGGGTGGTGTGCTGCTGCCCATTTCACAAAAGGATCATTTCCCCTGGGGATGGGGGTGGGAAAGTCTTATCCCTTAGGGTGGTAGAAAGGGTCAGGTGGGACAAGCACATGGCTGCCCTCACCCAGTTAACCTCTGACCCAGACTGTCCCATGATGTAGCTCTCTGGTGCCCCCTGCTGTCTGTGAGTGGGAAAAGGCTTGCCCTGCACTGACTGCTGCCCCCTTGTGGTGTTCCTGAGAAGCTTCTCCCCTGACTGGATTATGCAGGTAGCCCGCGCAGAGAGGGAGAGCACACTGGCAGTCAGGAAGAGATCAGTCTTTCCACCACTACTTACTGAGCACTTGGGTGCAAAGCCTTGACTCGGGTCCTTTGAGGGCTCCAGTAATATTTGAGACACCGTGATCTATTCTAGAGAAAGCTTGTAGGGTCATTAGGGAGTTGACCTGAAAGCCAGAGAGAGAAAAGTGGAAGTTCCTGGCAGTGTGGGACCAGCAGCCAGTGAGTGAGGGTGACACTAAGCTCCTGGCCTGCAGAGGGCTGGCATGGTGAGGAAAGCATGAGGGAGTGGGTGAGGCTAGAGCTGGGTTTAACTGTGGAGAGGGAGGGGCAAGGAGGGCCCTCTAGGCAAAGGCAGGTGGGACCATGTGGGGAGGACAGGGGCCACCAGATAAGCGGTCTGCAAGGATCCAGGGTCCAGGCAAGGGGTGGGTGGGAGGTATAGATGGAAGCGGAACCTTGAACAGGCTTTCAGGTTTTTAGCTCATGTTGCCCACAGGATATTGGCAAAGGTGGATTTTTGGTGTTTGTTTTTAAGCAAGGGAGTGTGGGGCTTGCTTGCTCATGGGGCTTATCAGATTAGTTTGGAAGAAACTGAGGTAGAAAATCCAGAGAGGAAGTGAGAAGATACAAAATACTTCCTTAGTGTGTCCAAAGTTTCAGCCTCTTTACTAGAAAACCGCAGTTTTATGTTAAATTCTGTAGTGTGGGAGGTTCTGGGAGCAGGAAGTAAGCATTGGCGCTAGTGTTACTAGCAGTGCTAATAATAATAATGATAACTGATGTTTACTGAGTGCCCAGCTCTGTGCTTTATTTCATTCCATCTTCATGTTAACCCCAGGAGACAGATAGAAATGGCCCCTTTTGGGGGTGTGAAAACTGAGGTACTCATGTATTTCGTTAAGGGCCTAGGTCATTACAGCAGGTTACAGAGGTAGGACTCAAGTGTCTGAGTTCTGAGTGATCTCAGTGAGTCACAACTGTGACTCTGATGCTTGGATTTCAGCTACCCAGGGCTGGGGTGCCTTGAAGAAGGGAGGAGGGTACCACTTACCAACCTGCTCTTTGTCCCGTAGACAGCGCTGAAGTCACCCCGCCTGTCCTCTCCGTGATGGGGGAGGCCACCCCTGTGAGCATTGAGCCGTAAGTGCAGCCTGACTGGGGCCCATGGTGTGTGGGTGGCCAGGTGAGCTTGGGGAATGAGAGGAGAGTCTTGTGAGGCCTCTGCACTTCTGCAGTTGGTCCTGGGCTCTGCTGTCCTTATGCTACTTCTACATAGAGGTTGTGGGGAACGATAAGGAGCAGCTCTGCTTGAATTTGTCTCCAAGGAGAGCTGGATGGGGTCCAAGAGACTCTGTCCCGATCTGCCCACATAGAGCAGCTTCTCCCCTTGCCAGCCTTTGAGTCTTGCCTTTCTGGTCATGCCAGTGCCAGGCTGTTGTCACAGTCTCCCAGAAGCCATTCCCTGCACCTGGCTTCTGCTGGTTGCCCCTCTTAGTCCCATCCTCTGGGAATAAGTCAGGGTAACTGTCCCTGTGAAGTGAGGCCTCACTCCCTGCCCTTCTACTGTGCTACAGACGCATCAACGTGGGCACCCGGTTCCAAGCAGAAATCCCATTGATGAGGGATCGTGCCCTGGCAGCTGCAGACCCCCACAAAGCTGACCTGGTGTGGCAGCCATGGGAGAACCTAGAGAGCAGCCGGGAGAAGCAGAGGCAAGGTAAATGGGCACCCGCGAGTGAGCAGGCCAGGTGGGCTGGTGGGCATGTGAGGCAGACAGGCACGGCCATGCCATCCCTGAACGTGATTTCCTCTCCTGTTCGCCATTGCTGCTGTGAATCCAGTGGAAGACCTGCTAACAGCTGCCTGCTCCAGCATCTTCCCTGGTGCCGGCACTAACCAAGAGCTGGCCCTGCACTTTCTGCATGAGTCCCAGGGAGACATCCTGGTAAGAGAGTCGTGTCGGTTTAAGGAAGGTCCCATGGGAAGGCTGGCATATCTGAGATGGGTAGGAGGGTCTGACCAAGGTGGGGATTGTAGCAGCTTGGCTTGGGGGAACTCGAGTTCTAAACTGTACATTTTGGTATGCAGCATCCTCCTGTCCGTCCCAGTCCCTGATTCTAGGTCAGTGGGGTCCCCTCTGTGAGACAGGACTGTCACTGTGAGGGCCTTCTCTGTTCATGCAGCCTGCCTTGGAGGCTACAATTCTCTTAAGAGTCCCTGGTTCCTTAGCAGCCCTACCTGCCATCTTCTGAGACCTCTTGTCCCTCAGCAGTGAAGGGGCCAAGAGGAAGTGTTCATCCTATTCTGAGGTTTAAGGAGGTCCTCTGCGTTGTGCCTGCGCCTAGGATGTTCAGTCCACCGCTGAGACCGTGGCCAGGGACCTGACTTCCTCTCTTTTCCCTCCAGGAAACTCTGAATAAGCTGCTACTGAAGAAGCCCCTGCGGCCCCACAACCACCCCCTGGCGACTTATCACTACACAGGTTGGCCTGGCTGGGGTGGGGCTGCAGCGTCATGAGTGCTGAGCCACAACGCTGGGTGGAGGTGGGGAGCCAAGAGCCAGTGAAGGAACTGGTGTCGGAACCGGGGCGACTCTTCAAGGGACTTCCTGTGCCCTAGAAGGGAAGGGCTGGAAGAGGTGGGCAGGTGGGAACCTACCTATGCGAAAAAGCTAGGTCAAAAGTACAAGACCAGGAACCCACTTGGATGCCATCCGGGTTGGCTTCAGCTACCCGGAACTTAGCTGGCCCTCAGAGCACATGTCTCATTCTGGACGTTGTACTTAAGAGGCACTTTGGCCAAATCACATAATCTTAGAAGCCGCTATTACTGATCTGCGTTGTTGCTCTTTTTCATCTGCACCATAGAGTACCAAGGGTTTCACCTACATTATTATTTTGTCCTCGTCATACCTGGTGAGGTGGGTCTAGGTGTTAGTTCCTATTTCATAAGCAAGGAGAGGGAGGCCTCAAGGGACAGAGTGTGGAATCGGTTCTGAATGCTATTGAGACCATGTGGGGATGGGCTCACCCTCGAAGCTGGTCGAAATCCCCCCACAGTGCTCACAGGCCTCCCCAACTCACACCCTGGCTCCCTCTTTGCCCCACAGGTTCTGACCAGTGGAGGATGGCTGAAAGGAAGCTGTTCAACAAAGGTATTGCCATCTACAAGAAAGATTTCTTCCTGGTACAGAAGCTGGTAAGTTGGGCTCTGTTTCTGGGGCAGGTGAGGGCCAGGAGCTACATACGTGACTTTGGGGTCCTGCCTGTGAGGCACCTATAGTTGCTGACCAAATCCTCCTAGTAGTCAGATCGTGGTCATCAAGGAGCTTTGGAGACAGCTTTCTAAACATTCCAAGAAGGGGAAAGATCTGGCCTTTTTCCCTTTTTGGTTCTGAGTCCCTTTCTCCTATCTTTGAGTGGTATGATCATGCTCTGGGGTCTCAATCCACACAACTACAGGGCATCCTACTTAAAATATGTGGGAGGATAAGATGGGAATAAGGGCTTTGGGAAGAGGCGAGCCATTCCCCCAAGGTAATACGGGAAAACAGGTCACTCTAGGGTGAGGGGACCTGCCAGCCAGCAAGTGCCTGTGTCACTGGCCTGGGAGACAGACCTCTGCCTCCTTCCTGCCTGAGCCAGGGCTTCCTTTTAGCCACCGGCTGATGAGCCTAGCTCTCTAGATTGTCTTGTCGTCTCCCATATTCTGGGAGAGTATAGTGCTTTGTATCTTTTCCACCTCCACCTCACAAAGGCTGGGCTGTAGGAACACAGTGAGTTGCTTGACCCACCGAGGGAAAAGAGCTGACAATGGGCTGTTTCCTACTGGATCGTAGATTGTTCAGGACTGGCCCTGGGGACTGATTCCTGGCCTGTCCAGGGTACTAACAAATCCCCCCTTGAAGGCTCTGTGAAGAGGACAGTTGTTTGTTGTATTTTAATAACACTGTCCCCCAATTAGGTAATTTCACTAGGAAGTATATCCCTGTGAAATTCACTGAGGTACCCCTAGTGTCTAATGTAAAGAGCAGATCAGTGGTCAAACGAATAAGCCAAGAGAATTGTCAGGAAAAGTGTAGTGGTCTAATCAACAAGTACTCAGACATGAGATGAAGCATGTCTGTTTCCTCCTTACAAAGAGGACCTCAGTGTCCCTGGGCTCCTGTACAGCAGCTGAGCTCCCTGCCTAGCAGGGGCAGAGTAATCTGGGATCCTGTGGAAGAGCAGGGGAGAATAAGAGAACCCCTGGATGAGAAGTAGTCCAGAGCCCAAACCCAGTGGCCAGGAGGATTTATAAAATGGGAAGGCTTAAAATTTCAGAATTGAGAAGTCCCTGAAGCTGCCTCATCCCCTTACATTTACACAACCAAAACTGAAATTAGGAGGGTGGGTGACTTGGGTTAGGGCCACACAGCCATTTGGTGGCAGGTTTAGAAACAAGACTTGGGCCCTCTGCCTCCTCTTCAGGTTTCTCAGGGTTTTCTTACTAGTTTGCCTTGAGTCTTCCCTGAGATAGGACATTGTGACACTTCTCTGCCTTGTCAGCCACTGCTCCCTGGTCAGTCACTACTCCCTGGAGAGGAATGGACCTGTGCCCGGGTTGCTGAAACGCATCTGTGCTGCCAGCTTGGGGCTGGTTTTGGATGTGGTTGATGCCCAGACTTTTCCCTTTAACTTTTTAACTGGAAAAGTTTCAAACTTAATAGAAAAACGGAAAGAACGGTATAATAAACACCTGATGACCCTTCACTGAGATGTACTAATTGTTAGCATTGGCCCTTTTGCTTTTCCCTCTGTCTTCATCTAAACGTACCCACCCACACAAACACAACTGTTTTCCTTTCTCCATTTTAGCTAATCATGAAAAGTTAGCCTGTCTTGTGACTTAACAGACTTCACTGTATATTTCCTAAAATCGATTTATTTTTCAGTAAAACTACAGTATCATAAACAATTTCAAGAAATTTAAAGGGCCGGGGATTTAGCTCAGTGGTTCGGTGGCCTACCTTGCAAGCGCAAGGACCCGAGTTCAATCCCCGGTTCAAAAGAAATTTAAACAGATACAGTGATAGCCCCTAATGTGCCGTTCATGGTCACATCTCCCTAGGGGCTCCAGGGTTGTCCCTTGTATCATTCTTTCTTTCTTTACAGTAGTGCTGAAGCATTGGTTAATTGCATTGCTCAGGGGTTTGTGGCAGAGCAGGCACAGGAGAAATGTTTGCATTTCCTGGGTTCACTTCGTTTAGTTTTTGGCCTGCAGGTGAAGGAAAGGAGAAAGCCTGGATTCTCTTCCAGGTAGGAGAGCCGAACCAACAGACTCTAACCTTAGTTTTGGCTTCAAACCAGATCCAGACCAAGACTGTGGCCCAGTGTGTGGAATTCTACTATACCTACAAGAAACAAGTGAAAATCGGTCGCAATGGGACTCTTACCTTTGGGGATGTAGACATAAGTGATGAGAAGTCAGCCCAAGAAGAGGTTGAAGTGGATATTAAGGTAATTCTTTTTCCTGCCCCAGCTGCCTAGAGCCTGGCAGGGTCTGGGGCCAGGGCTAAGCTCTCCAGGAGTCTGCAGAGGGCAGGCAGAGGAAAAACAGGGTCCCTAAGAGCCCATAAGAGCTGAAGTCCCCAGCCATAGGCCTTTGAGCTTTGCCCTGTAGTAGACAGCTGGGGTCACAGTAATTGTTCCTGATACTGGTGCAAAACATTGGAGAATTTCCCCACAGTATTTGTACCACCAACTGCTGCTGCCTCCTCATAGCAGACCTCTGGCACTGTTTTCCCAAACTTCAGTCATTCTTGCATCACCTTTGTGATTTCTGCTCTATCCGCCTCTTACCATGTGTCACCATTACTATTTTTGTCACGTCCACACACTACTTGTGCTATTATGTAATATTTTCCCTTGTATCAACCCGTTTTTTTACCTAAAAGAGCTCTATATGACAATCATGAATAGAAAGTGAGCATCTTTTCCCACAAATAGAAAGAACTGTAAAAATATATAAGAAAACCAACCACTGTTACCAAATTCTAGTTAGACGCTGTGTTACCTGCCAGGATTCTGAGACTAAAGGTCTCTATTAAAGAAATTATCAGGTCTATAGAAACACAAAGGACATAGTAATAGCAACCTCAGACTTTGTACTTGACCTAACCAGGATTGAAGGAGAATTGAAAGGGCAGTGCGACTTTATTTTACATCCATGTGTCTGTCTGATACCATCTCAGGGTTACAAGTTCACACTTGGTACCATGCTACTCTAAGACAGGGAGTGGTTTGCTCCTCATTTTGCAGATGGAAAGGGAGTGCAGATACAGAAAGTATTACAAAGATGGTTTGGGATTGGAGCTCAAGGCTCCTGCCTGCCTCACCAGACCTCTCTGCCTGAGGATGTGTCCTCCAGGTCCGGAAGGTCAGGTGGCTTGTGGGTGCTGGCGTGTTCTCCCGTTGCCCTGGCTCAGTCTGAAGTGCTCAGTCTCATCATGAGGGCTCCCAGGTCTCAAGACTGTCTTTTGTCCCCAGAGAGAGTAGCCTTGGCTGTGACCTGAACCAGACCAGCTGGACAAGAAGGGGTTCGTGAACCCTGGCTGGGTCAGAATTATTGCAGTGTGATTGAGCTTGTTCTTATCCCCCATAGACTTCCCAGAAGTTCCCAAGGGTGCCTCTTCCCAGAAGAGAGTCCCCAAGTGAAGAGAGGCTGGAGCCTAAGAGTGAGGAAAAGGAACCCAGGAAGGAGGGGGAGGAAGAGGTGCCAGAAATCCAGGAGAAGGGGGAGCAGGAAGAGGGGCGAGAACGCAGCCGGCGGGCAGCTGCTGTCAAAGCCACGCAGACACTCCAGGCCAATGAGGCGGTAAGTGTGACTCCACCTCCACCAGGAAGGGAGGGCAGAGCAGGAACACGGCGGCCATCCTCATTATCGCAATAGCAGAAAGTGCACCAAGTACTTGATGCTGTTAACTTGTTTAATCATCATGACTCTATGTGGTAGGGGCTATTATTAATCACATTTTACAGATGAGGAAATTGAGACTTAAGATAACACAGCTAGTAGGCAGCTTGATGCCAGCCTACTATTTATTTTTGCACTGTGCAGCTTCTGGTTCTGAGATTTGGAGGAAAAGGGCTTTGTATGCGGGAGACGGGAAGCGTTGGTGAGCCATAGTCCAACCCTCAGTCAACCCCATGAGGGCTGTCTGCTGTCTGACAATATCAGAAATGGAGCTAAGACCATGGCAGTAACAATAATGTCTCCTCACCCATGTTCTCTGCAAAGTGCTTTAATTTCCATGATCTCAGCGTCTCAGAGTAACCCCAGAATGTGTTGACCTCCACTTTGCAGATGGGACAGTTGGGTTTAGAGATGCAGAGTGACTTGCCAGAGGTCACACCCCAGGTCCTTGGATTCCTGCTGCAGTGCTCTGTCTACCACATAACAGGCCAAGATTTCTGGCCAAAGATGCCCTTGGCCTGAAGAGCTCTCCCAGGAAAGGGGAGAGTGAGGGTTTTGTACGTTTATACTTGCAGGATGTTATAAACTGAAGACAGCTCTCTTCCAAACTTGGCAGTCTGCACTGAAGCACTGTGCTCTGTGTCTACACTTTGTTGAGTTCTGCAGACTCTGTGAACACTTTCCTATAAGGCTTGATCCGGGACACTTTGTCATGGCCATCTGGGGCTCCCATCAGGGGCCCAGCGTGGGACCTCCTCCGGGGCTGTATCACCTGTCCTCTCTGCTCCCTGACGCCTGCTCTTCCCCTCTGTTCTTCCCCTCTGTCCAGCGTTTGCCATGCTCTGTGTTCTCAGCAAGTGACCTGCACGTCTGCACCTGTCCTTTTCACTAGACCCAGAGTTCTCTGAGGAGAGGGGTCTTGTCAATTTCTGTGTCCCCAGCACTTGTCATATCACAGGATATGATTTTTTTTAATGACTTAAGAGCCAGTGACTTTGTAAAGAATAGAGCTAGAGTGGACCCAAGATTAAGTGGGAGTCTGAGGTGACACGGATGGCCCTGTTACTCAAAGGACAAGAGGATGCTAGGTGACTGTGGCAGGAGTGTGTCACCTTTAAGGGCCCGGTATTCCCTGAGAATCCAGAATTCTGGATCTGTATTTCCCCGAAGCACTCAACTGTCCTTGTTGATTTTTCTCTAGGCCAATGACATCCTCATCTTGCGGAGCCATGAATCCAATGCCCCTGAGTCTGAGTCAGCAGGTGGCCAGGCCTCAGAGAAGCCACGGGAGGGGCCAGGGAAGTCACGAAGGGCACTGCCTTTCTCAGAGAAGAAGAAAAAAACAGAGGCATTTAATAAGACCCAGAACCAGGAGAACACTTTCCCTTGTAAAAAATGTGGCAGGTAAGATGGCCAGCACTGGCCCTGCCCTGAGGTGGGAAGGGGTGTTCCTGGGAGCGCTTAAATTGTCTTTTGATTGGCTCAGTGGGTTGCCGGGGCATTGATGTCATCAGGACAGCTTTAGACAAGGGCCTGCAGGTGGGAATGGGGGAGTTGGGGAGACGAGGGGGTTGGGGAAGCTGCAAGTCAGGAAAGCCAGGCATACCTGCCCCCCACCCCCCGGAGACACGTACCCACCCAGGGGTGCTGGGGCTGGCCAGCCTCTTACCTGTTCGCCTCCTGTCCTGCTGCAGGGTGTTCTACAAGGTGAAGAGCCGCAGCGCCCACATGAAGAGTCACGCAGAGCAGGAGAAGAAGGCTGCAGCCCTGCGGCAGAAGGAGAAGGAGGCCAAGGAGGCTGCTGCCGCTGCCCTGCACTCCCAGGAAGAGAGCGCTGGCGAGAAGGGCTGAGTTTGGCGAGGAGCCTCAAGAGCAGAGCGAGCCCAGAGGGCCATGTGGACATTTCTCAGCAAAACAATTTAGACAGTGAAATAAATGGCTTTTTTACTTATAAAGGCCCCAGAAACAGTGTTAAGGGCTGCAGGATCCAGTTCTCTTTGCCTTTGGGCCTCCTGTTTTCCTGGAACTGTGAGCATGCTGGTTGGGCCCCTGGGGAGCTGTGGGGAGCTGCCCCTCTCTGATCTGGCTTCATCTGCACGGAGCAGCCTCCTCCCTCCTCTGTGCCCCTTCCTTCTCTGATCTCCAGGAAGCTGCGTTGGCCAGCCAAGCACAAGCTTGCCCCGCTGCAGCATTATTCCCCCTACCCCGGAGGACCTGAAAGGCTGCAATAGGCCTTGCCCCAAACCCCAAGAAAGGGACTCCCTTGGAGGGTGCGTGCTGCCCTGACACCAGTGCTGTCCTTGCCGGCAGTGTCCAGGCCTGAGCTGCTCTAGTGACCTTCTCTTCAGGCCACTGCCTCACTTCACAGGAAGTAACGCCCGGGATAGCTACTGGTCTGCGAAGTTTTTTCCAGTGTTTGGGGAAGGGGCCACTGTGCTGTCCATGCTCTTGGCCTACTTCCGGGGAGGAACTGTACGGAATCTGAAAGCTGGAAGCCACAGAGCTGGGCAGGAGGAAGCTTTTGACAAGGCCCACCTGTTTCCCACCCACCTTTTTGCCAAATACTTTTGGGCCCTGGAGGCTGTTCAGTGAGCATAGCCTCAAGCAGGTCCTCCAGCTGGTGCCAGCTCCCTGCTTGCCTCTGTCCTGCCCTCAGCAGCTGCTACTTAACCCCATGCACCTCCCACTCTCTTTGATGCTTGAAGCTCAGCCCCCCCCCAGTCCCCAGTGCTAGAGATTTCTGGGTCCTTCCCTGGGAGAAGAGGTCTCCTAACTAGATGGGACGGGGCCTCCATTCTTTGACTCGTGTCATTTGGGAGAGCTATTTATTTATTCTTAATATTTAATTTTCAACATCCTCTCAGGGACCAGGGACCTCCTGCTTTCCAGAGGCCCAAGTGCATTTATCCCAAAACGAGGCACCTTCTTGACACCCCCAATTTCCCAGGCCCTAGGGTCCCTCCCCTTGTTGCTCTGGAATTCTTGCTAACAGGGCAATGACAGCAGGCTGGGAATGTTGAGAATGTCCCCAAAGCCACACACAGACTAGCAGGAATGAGGGAGATCAAAGGCAGTTTCTGTTGCTCTCCTTTGGTACTTAGAAATTCCCCGAGGGAGTTGGCAGGAGGCTGGAATTTTAGTTCTGTTTACCGTGCCTGCATTCTGGTTTGCAGAAGCCATGTTTGGCATAGGATCACTGAAGTAAAGTGGCTAGAAGTTTCTGAAAGCCCCTTCGCTTGCCAGTCTCATGGGGAACCTGAGTCATTTTTCTGATCTCATTACTCAACTTCAGTTGTGCAAAAGAAATTCTAAGTGAGTGTGTGCATGACAGGCCAACATGTTAGGAACCCAGGGTTCATTCTGCTGCTACCTAGGAGATGCCCTAAAAACATCCTGTCAATAACTGGGAATGGAGAGGGAATTTTGCTTTTAAACTATGCACTATGAGATATTTTTACATTTGTTTATGCATTAATAAGGATTCTATAAGACCCCAGTTATAAAGGTAACAAATCCCCCACCCCAGACTCGTAGACAGCTACTCAGATCTCCAGCTTCCCCATTAGGGCTTCTACAAATCCCAAGACTGCAAAAATCAGTGGACTCTCTAAAAGGAGGGCATCAAATTCAGGCTCTTCTCAATCGCTTGTATCATATGAGTGCCTTTGCAGCTGAGCCCCAAAGTGCTACTTATGCTCCCAAGGTTTTTCTGTTTAAACAGTATTGGTTTCCCCTTTACGGACATGTGTTAACAGAAACTCCTTCAGTCACATGAGACTCTTCTGTTCAGTGGTAACATCTAGTACTTGGAAAAAAAAATTTTTTTCCCCCAGTAAGAAAGTGAGTCTGTTCTTCTAAGCTCGCAGAGACCAGACCAGGCAAATGTAGCCAAGGAACGCCAAGATGGCACCTCTTGGAATGAGCTGTATCAGACACTGCATTGTAGGCGAGCCCATGTTCCAGAATGCATTTGTATCTAGAATGAAATGTGAAAAACAAAACTGTGTATAGGACAGATGCAAGTGCGGCAAGTGATCACTCGGTAAAGTTGAATGCAGCCCAGAAGCTGGCACAGGTATATCCTTAATGGTGCTTTCTCCCTATGAATATATTAGGCTTGTCTTTTGTTTTCCTCTCCTGTTTAGAGCTCTTTGCTTTAACAAGTTAAACTACAAATAGCTCCAGCTTTATAATGTCCTCCCCACACCATCGTACCACGTCAGTCTCCCAGCTTCCATTTGCATTCAGTTAGAAGTTACGAAACTGACCCTAGTGCCTGGTATCTGCCATTTCTGAGGCCTCTTGGCCACCAGAGGAGACAGTGCCATTAATACTGTCCTCCATGCCTTTAGTAGCCCCCCTCATGGCTAAGGTGCACCCCTGCCCACCTGATGCCCCAGCATCCCCCTTGGGACAGAGGTCTTGTGCTGCTTATGTCTAAAGGGACTTCCTGTATTAACTGCCTCACTGAACTAACCTCTCTTCTCATGTGCCCAAATTTAAGATGAAGGAGGAATGCAACATACATTCAAGCCTCAGCTGTCTAAATGTTTTCACTGGGGTTCACTTTTCTGGGATGTTATTTATTATCAGACTGGCAAGCCAAACCCCTTAGGTTTACAGGAAGTATGCATATTTTTATAATACAGTTGTGTCTGCTCCACATTTGGTTGTGTTAATATTTGCCTCTGATTAATAATTTGCAGGTGTGTTTCACCTTTTCCTTCTTTGTCTCAAAGCTGAAGGCCTTGCTGGAGGGGACAGAGCACAGAAACAGCCTTGACAGTTTGTAATTATTGTACAGGTATTTTAATAGCATATAAATAAGTATATTCCTTTTATTTTGAAACAAAAATCAGACACTGCCTTTTGTGTGTTTGCTGCCTGTGGCACCCCTTTTTTTTAAAAAGACTGTTACATATTAAAATAGTGTACATATATAAATATATATAAATATTACCTCTTTTGCTGTACAGTTGTGATAGACCAGACGGAAGATTTTATTTTTTGTGTGCTTTTTATAAAAAAAATTAATACACTAAAGAATCTTGCTGATGTGATTGTAATGTATCTATGTAACTTATTTACTTTTGAATGTTCTGTATCTTTAAACCTTTTATTAAATAAGGTTTTAAAACCTCAGAGTTGAATGCTGTCTGTTGGGGGCGTTCACCACCTGGGAGTGACATAAGTAGGCCTTGTTTCAAAGGGATGTTATATGACATTTTTGAGCCATAAAGATTGTGTTTTACCAATTGTCATTAAGGCCAGAACAGGGGAAGTAACAGCTTGCTTGGCTACAAAGATGACTGAGTAGACACAGACCTTGTAATTTACCAGTCCAATTATTTAAATACAGAATGACCAAAATGCACATTTTCCCATTAATTTTTGTAAGATAACAGGAGATATAAAAACGACACTGGGAGGCGGGGGTTGAGACAAGGTCTCCTTATGTAGCTCAAGTTGGCCTTGAACTATGTTGTTTGGGCTGGCCTCAAACTGGCTGTGATCCTCCTGCCTCAGCCTCCGCAGTTCTGGGATTACAGGTGTGCACCACCATGCCCTGCTAAAAATTACAGTTTTACCATATTCAATACCAGAATCGACGGGTTGAAATGACACTTGCCTAAGTGACACTAGGGATGGTACGTATATGTGCTGCCCCAGGGACACTCGGTAAACTGTTAAGTGGTTAACAAACTTCTAAAAGTCTCACACACATGGGATGCATATGCCTATGTTTCAATTTTATTGGGATGAAATATAGAGGGTGCAGAGCGTGGACAGGTGGTACAGGGGAGAATTAGGGTGCTGACCAGTATTTTCATATGCAGCATAGACCTAGGTGTATGAGCAACCTGAGAAAACATGTCCAACGTGATGCTTTATTTTGTGTGTGTGGGGGGGATTTAAGACAGGGTCTCACTATGTAGTTGAGACTGACCTGGAACTCACTATGTAGTCCAGGCTGGTCTCGAACTCACAGTGATCCTCCTGCCTCAGCCTCCCGAGTGCTGGAATTACAGGCGAGTGCCACCACATCCGGCGATACAGGCATCTTAAGTATTTTAAATCCACTGTAGAATTAGATTATCTTTAAACCTAGTGCTTAGTTTTTGTTTACTGTAAAAAAAAAATCTGGAAAATATAAAAAAGGAAATGCACCTTCAGAGTATCCAGTGCCACAGCCCTTGCTGGCACCATGGCAACCTCTCCACCCTCCAGCCACAGGAGCGCCCAGGTTGCCCGTCTTCCGGAAGGCCGTTGCCATGGCCACGCAGGCGCGTGCTCCGCTGAGGGGCCGCACAGAAGGTGCGTGCAGGGGGCAGGCGAGCCGGCTCCGCCCTCCTCTGCGGCAGTCCCGCCTCGGCAGGTTGCCCTGAAGAAGCCTCAGAAGCAAGGCAGCACCAGAGCAACTGCGGTCTGCGCGTCCGGCCTCGCTTCTCGTCCCTCCCGGTCCTCTGCTAACTCCATTCCCCGTCGTCGCCGCCCAGAGGGGTCCTGTAGACCGAGAAGAAGCTGCTGTCCGATCGCCGGGACCTCTGGACAGCCTCGCCCTCCGACCGCCAACTTCCGGTCGGCTCGGGAGCTACAGCGCGGGGCCGCCCGGGCTGCGGGAGGCGAGGCCACCCCGGCCCTTCCCGCCCGGAGGCGCCTGCCCCCGCCTCCAGCCCGGGTTTCTGGGTCTGGCCGCGGACCCCGACCCGGGACGCAAGATGGCGACTGCCGCGTGACTGAGCCCTTGAGCACCAGGCGGTGCGGACTGACTTTGGGGACAGGGACGCGGCGAGAGCTGGACTCTGGTGGCCTTTGACAGTTGTGATTGCTTGAAGCTTGCCACGCTTGCCACACCGACCTGGGACACTCATTTTATGCGTGAGCACCGTGGACTGTCGGGGCACTCGATAGTTGGAGGAAATGGCGATGACTCTGTTGGAGGACTGGTGCAGAGGGATGGACGTGAACTCCCAGAGGGCTCTTTTGGTCTGGGGGATCCCAGTGAACTGTGATGAGGCTGAAATTGAAGAGACCCTCCAGACTGGGATGCCCCACGTCCCCTATCGAGTGCTTGGAAGAATGTTCTGGAGAGAAGAGAATGCGAAAGCGGCCTTGCTGGAGCTCACTGGCGCTGTCGAGTACGCTGCGATCCCCCGGGAGATGCCGGGCAAAGGAGGGGTCTGGAAGGTGGTCTTTAAGCCCCCCACTTCCGATGCTGAGTTTTTAGAAAGGTTGCACCTCTTCCTTGCTAGAGAGGGTTGGACTGTGCAAGATGTTGCCCGTGTTCTTGGGTTTCAGAACCCTGCTCCGGCCCCAGGCCCAGAAATGCCAGCGGAGATGCTCAACTACGTTTTGGATAATGTCATACAGCCTCTTGTTGAATCCATATGGTACAAGAAGTTGACGCTGTTCTCAGGGAGGGACATCCCGGGACCTGGGGAGGAGACCTTTGATCCCTGGATGGAGCACACTAATGAGGTCATGGAGGAGTGGCAGGTGCCTGATGCAGAAAAGAGGCGCCGGTTGATGGAGAGTCTGAGAGGCCCTGCTGCTGATGTCATTCGAATCCTGAAGACCAACAACCCAACCATAACCACTGCTGACTGCCTAAAAGCTCTGCAACAGGTGTTTGGGAGCATCGAGAGCTCTAGGGACGCGCAGGTCAGATTTCTGAACACTTACCAGAACCCAGGAGAAAAGTTATCCGCTTATGTCATTCGTCTGGAGCCTTTCCTGCAGAAAGTGGTACAGAAGGGGGCCATTGATAAAGATAACGTGAACCAGGCCCGCCTGGAGCAGGTCATGGCGGGGGCCACCCACAGCGGGGCCATCCGGAGGCAGCTGTGGCTGACAGGGGTTGGGGAAGGGCCGGCCCCTAACCTCTTCCAGTTGTTGTTGCAAATCAGAGAGGGGGAGGCCAAAGAGGAGGAGGAAGAGGCCGAGCCCGCTCTCCTACAGTTAGGCCTGGAGGGGCACTTCTGAGACTGAGGAGAAGGGACGTCACTGCAGACCCAGATCACAGCTGCTTTTACTGTCCCTGTGTGGTCTCGCAGGCGTGTCTCTGAGTAGTAAAGACATCCTTGTTCTGTTTTTTGTTTGTTTTGTGGGGGAAGAGGAACCGGGGAGTCAGGCCTGCATATTTATTAACTTTCGGGAAATTACAAGCAAGCACCAGGAGGGGCTGCAGTACAAATGGAGCACAAAGGCAAAAATGCCAGGGAAAAAAGCTTGGACACGAAGTGTTGGGTGCAAGCTGTCATCGTGGCATCATTGTCAGTGGTGAAAAATGTGAATCTGTGACACTTCCCATCGTGATACTGAAATGTGAATTGCGTCAGGGCCTGACTCACAGGAAGAATTCAGTAAAAATGTGAACTATATTTGTTACTAATGATGTGAATAATTTGTTATTGTAAATTGCCCTGATTTATGTTAAGGGAAAGAAATGTGAAGTTACTAGATGATATTACTCGGCTTTTTAATGCAAATTTCTTATTTCTCATCTTTTATCATCTGGGTCAGTTTAATTGAAAATTTCTGAGACTTCAAAATGAGGCGTTAAAAATTATGCAAGTGTAGGACTGTATAAATCAGTTCTCCACTGTGTTACATACAGATATCAATCAATGGGGAGATTGATATGAACTAGTTCCCCCACTTCAAATCTTTGTCATAGTTGTTCATGCTGATAACTGTGTTCTGAATTTGAAGTTATTAAGTAGATATATACAAAGAAAACAGTTTTAAAATTGTAGTCTTCTCATTTTTCTGACATATATACAAAATTTTAGTGTAATTGTATCCTTTTTTTCTTGTGAAGTCTTCCCTATATCATTAAAAGGAAAAATCTAACCTTGACTATTAAGGAGTTTAACTTGCAGTAGCTTTAATATATATTTAGCTTTTACATGTTTTCTTCAAGACCAATGTTAAAAGGTTAAGTAGCCAGATATTAGTAATATAAAATTACTACAAAATTTTAGAAAATTCTGAAATGAGGTTTCTGGAAAGGAAGTTGTGGTTTTATTTATATATTTATTGTGGTACTGGGGATCAAACCCAAGGGCATTCTACCACTGAGCCGTATCCTCCAAGCGCCCCCTCCCCTTTTCTTAAATTCTAATTTAGAGTCTTGCTGGTTGTCCACGCTGGGCTTGAATTTGTGATCTTGCCTCAGTCTTCCAGGTGTGGAATTAAGGTGTACGTCACCACTTGCAGCTTTTTTCTTTTAAATCACTTTGTGTCTAAAAACTTGTTTCACTGAATAATTCATCACAGCTATGTAAAATTAATATTTGTTTCACAGAAGCCATTATATACCAAGAAAACACAAAAAGGGAAAAACTTTAAAACATTTATCTGTAGAGATTCAGTGACTGTAGTTGTGCGCCCTTGAGAGCCTTAGTAAAATACCAGCTGCATGAATGTTAAGTCTCCTGTGGGGTTTCTCTTTAAGGTTTTGAAATTATAGCTGTCTCATTAACACTCATGCAGTACAGAATATATGAAGGCTAATATTGGTATGTGTTTTTCCAGATTTTTCAATATACTCATGTCTTCACTCCCAATGTCGTATCAGTATCCCTTTCATTTCTCCCCTCACAAATGCACATCACATTCTTGCCTCCCTGTTTCCTCAGTAGACTTGCATATCTTTACTTCCCCCTCAAACACTTAGCATACCTCTGTCCCCTACCCACCAGACGCGTACAAGTCCCTCTTCCATTCCCACCAGCATCAGATATACACACAAACCACCTTCACACTTTTGTCTTCATGCACTTACCTCCCTCTACTCACAAACATACTCCTTCCACTGTACAAGAGCACTGCACCAGCATCCCACCCCACAATATGTGTTCTCTTTCTCACCATATACACAAGCCCTGTTACTGCATGCCAGCAGCCACACTCTGCATCCATATACATACATGTTACATTCCTAAAAACAAATAGGATTTCTTCATTTTTTTTACCCAATATGTTACAGACATCCTTCTATGTCTGTATGTAGAGATACACTTTTTTCCCCTTCCCTGGGATACTGGGGATCAAACCCAGGGCCTCACATGTGTTAGGCAAGTATTTTACCACTGAGCTACTTCCCTAGTCCTAAACCTTTTTATAGCTGCAGCACTGATTGCATCCTAGGAGGAATGGTCTTACAACAGTTGCGTATATCTAGATATGCACATATATACTTAATGCAATACAGACATATGGCATAAAACTTAGGATCCTAGATGCCCATCCTTTGTTCTAAGAAATAACAAACTGAGCTATTTATGATCTGATTAGGGCTTTCTCATTATAGGCTCAGAGGTAAAAATTCTCTGCTTTTTAAGGAAGGCTAGCAGCAATCAAGATATCTTCATAAATACTTGTGGGATAAGAAGTAGAAATTGTATTACAGGCCTAGTCTGTGACCAAAATTACACTTTGGCTGATACCACAGAGTATGGGACTGGCAAAATGTGAAATTTCTTATATTGCTGGATTATTCCTATTTCTCATCTCAAGAGCCTATCAGCTAACATTTACTTTGTGCACCTCTGGAAGTAAGTTGTGGACTAGGAATGTTCAAATGTAGTAGTGACTTGCTGTCCCTAAAAATACTGTCCAGGAGTCACCTAATTTGAAAGGGTAGAAAACTTAATAAGCTTGGGAAAAGATGTTGTCACTGGTAGTAAACTACTGAAAAAAGGTTTAGAAGATGATCCAAGTAGGAAGAGCTTACACGGAAATTATGTCAGCTTGCTTTCACAAGCTCTTGCCTGCATGTTCATTCTCATTCCCGCTCTCCCTCTCCCCAGGCCCTGTTATCCAAAGGCTGAATTTCTGGGAACAGAATTATCATTGGAAGTTCCCATAGTTGCCTCTATTAGCTAAAACTAATGAAGATGTAATTTAAAAGCCTACAAATTCCTTTTCTTATAAAATAACACAATTTATTACTATTTTAAAACAAGTCTCACAAAGTAACATTCAGAAACTCAAAATATTTCTAAATAATTTAACACAATAACTTTAGTTGTAAAGTCATGCTACAAAATTCCTGTGTATAAAAGATTATCACCCAAGTATTAATAGATGTTAAAATGCTCTTCAGAATGGAATTGGTTCTAAAAGCCAAAGGTCTTGGAATGAAGCTCATGATCATAACTGACAATCTCGGAGAAGCAGTTGGAGATATATTTATTCTGGTCTGCGTCCAACTCACCAGTCTTGATAGGCGCGATCACTGTAGGCAACAGCATCTTGGAGGCAGGTACTTCCTACTGGAAGCAAAACGCTTTCAACCAATATAACAGCATCGACTTAATGCAGACAACATCTAAATTTGTTTTTATAATCTAGGTGTGAGGAAGATAACTCACAAAGGGTCTGAGTAGGAGAATTACTCGACACATCCTCCAGAGGGATGATCTGAGATACAGCAGATACAGAAGATGACCCAAATAGGGAAAGCAGGAAATCCTGACTTTGCTGTTGTCAAGAGAGAGCAATTCCTCATGCTGGTTTAGAATGAGCAAGGGTGATTTTTGATTCTCTAACATCTATGTTTAGGCTAGGTATTTATCCATCTTGTTTTTGGAAGTCCAGTTCAGAATTGTACAAATTTACTTAAAAATAGTTTACTTTCCCCCAACCCTTTATTAAATTTGCTAGATCATAATTTGGTTGGCTGGTTCCCCTGTAACCTTCCCAATATTGGAAATAACCTAGACTCCATTTATGACTCCTCTTAAGTGTTGAGTGTCAAATTTATCTTAGGTCAGAAGAAGATAAGACAGTCTAGTTTTTCCTTTCCGTTTTCTTCCTTTGAAGTCATTGATTAATAAAAAGCAAGACTAAATATATAGATATGGTATTTCTAAAAGCTCAGTGATTTTTAAAATGTAACTCTTAATTGCTTAAGTTTCACCTATTTTATAGTTTTACAAAAGGAAAACAGTACGACATGCTAGAGTAAAGAGAAGGGAATACAGTCAAGTTAGCTGTGTCAGAAGCACCAACTCTGCTACACTGAATCTTGTTTCATTATTTATGAACACACTAAAAGGCCCAAATAAAGAAAAAGAATGCCAAAAGAATGAATTTCTGGTAAAGGATAATTTGCAGTTTATCAGTTTTCTCCCTTTACCAATGCTCACACTGTATAAGGTCGTAGTAAACCAAAGATCCGACTGCACTCCGAGAGACACTAGTGAAAGATGCTTTGATACTTCCCATAGCTTTCTAAAGTGAATGACTAAATTCAGCCTTTCTGGTCTGGCCCTATGCACTTCCATTTAGCCCTTAGAAAAACCAAGGTGGAAGATTCTAACTCTATACATCACCAATTCTGAGAATAAGTCAACAGTCACAATTCAGTTTCCATTCCTCCTTATTCTATTTTCAACTCACTGGCAAAAAGTATCAAAAGAAGCACCTTTTCAAGTAGAAAATTCTACTCAGGAACCACCACTTAAGTGCTTTAGACCGTCCTCATGCATGGAATGGGTTCAGTAAGCATACCAAGTTATTGACCAGTTATAATGATCAGAGATCATGCTGATAATACTCAAAATCAATGTCTACATCAGCTAACTTCTATGCATTACACAATATTTTCCACACTAAATGACTGTCACAATCTGCAAAACTTTGTATATTAGGTAATGAATGATGATGATCTATTTTCTAAAGTACACTCAAAGTATTAAATTTTAGTGACAAAGGAAAATCTACCATAAAGTTAAATTCTATTGATAGTAACAGAGAGGTAGGTTAATAAACATTGTCCTAAGATAAGGAAGGATGGTAAGAAATAAAATTTGAGGTCCTGCTTAAAAAAAAAAGTTTAACCTTCTAGCCCTGAGTTTCTAATACTATGTGAAACTTACAAAAATTAATTTCTAATTAGAAAATTAGTTTTGTAATTTAAAAAATTACAGAAAAAAGGGCCAGGGATTTAGTTCAGTGGCACTATATTTGCCTCACAAGCATAAGGACCTGAGTTCAATCCCTGGTACCAGAAAAAAAAAAAATTACAAAAAAGGGAAATACCTCTGACCATTTCCTTCCATCCATGATTATAAATGCATCACTTACTTTCCCACAGCTCCACTGGCACACGGCTATGCAGTGAAAATATACAGACCCTGAGGCAAAAAAGCACCTGGGGAGGATTTGTTCCCACTCTTTCCCTCAGGGTTAAGATGGCAATGTCTAGAGAAAACCTTTTGTTGTTATAACTGAGGAGACAGAGCTACTGGCATCTACTGCCAGAGGACAGAGATGCTGTTAAACATCTACACAGCACAGTTTCCCAAAACAATTAATCATCTAGCCCAATATGTAAGTAAATAGTGCCAATGTTGAGAACCTCTGATTTAAAGGAACAAAATCCTATAAACAGAGAACACAAGAACCTTTCAAGCCTGGCTAGGTAATATGGCCATAGGCTTAGAATTAGAAAACAGAAAAGTTGAATTACTTAGTAGATGAAAATCAAACTTACTGTGAAACATTAAAATACTGGACTGAGGCCGGGCGTGGTGGCGCACATCTGTAATCCCAGCACTCGGGAGGCTGAGGCAGGAGGATCGCTGTGAGTTCAAGACCAGCCTGGGCTACATAGTGAGTTCCAGGTCAGTTTCAACTACATAGTGAAACCCTGTCTCAAAAAAACAAACAAACAAAAAAACCCAAAAAACAAAAACAAAAAACTGGACCGATGCCAGAGCTCTATCATCATTTATAAGAATAGAAGTAATGGGCTGGGGACTTAGCTCAGTGGTTCCACCACCTGCTTCATAAACGCAAGGTCCTAAATTGGATCCCCAGTACCAAAAACAAAACAAAACAAAACAAAGAATAGAAGTAAGGTAGCACACACCTGTAATCCTAGTGCTTTGAGGCCTAAAGCAGGAGGATCACAGCTTTAAGCCCAGCCTGGAGAACTTAGCAACTTAGTGAGATCCTGTCTAAAAATATAAAGAGCTGGGGCTGTAGCTCAGTGCAAAGACTTTGGGTTCATTCCCCAGTATGGAAGAAAAAAAGAAGTTTAAATGATCCTCTAACATAGGAACACAGGAATTGTCCATATCACATAGGTCAAATTCTGATCTCAGAGGCATAAACCAAAGGCATTAAATATAAACTAAGTATGCAGCAGAAAAGGATGATAAAGGAATGCTTCGAGAGACTATTCCGAACTTCATACATCTTCTATTTTCTAATTGTACAGATTCTGACTTTAATTCTAGGAACAGGGATGCATAGAAGTCATTCAAATATTTGTTGAATGCAATTGAATGTGAATTTTGTGTAAAATGGACAAAGAAAAGCACCTTACATTTCTCTGAGAACCACCAGTGATTAAAAGACATAAAGAAAGAAAAAATTAATATCTACATTGCAGAATTCAGAAAAATCAAATGCTAATACTGTAAATTATTTCATAAATAAATTTAATACAAAGTCATCCATTTTCTATAATATTCACTTCCAGAATAACTTTTAGAAAATATACATATATGTAGGAATATGGCTTCAAGCTTGCCTACTGGATGAAGTGTAAACTACAAGATCACCTTCCCACTCAGTTTATGGACCTTAAACACCACCAAGGAGCATGAAGGCTCTTTGCCTATGCTTCACAAAAGAAACAATGAAGATTTGAATGTAAAAGCCAATCAGGGAAAAGGCTTCTTCCTATCAGATTGAAAGAGCGAGTGAGTGACGGGGTTAGACTAAGTGTTCTTGTTTGGATTTAGAGTTGATTGTCAAAGCGGTGGTCCCCTTTGATCAGAATGACTTTTAAATCAAATGATTCGTAAGTGATAGCTATAGATTTCTAAAACCTAGGACAACTTATGCAATCATTTAAAAAAAATGACTCTCCCCTCTTTCATTAGATGGGGAAATAAGAATCAATAGTCTCTGGCTGAGAGACTTTAGGCACAATTTGGCAGGAGGCCCCTGACTTCTTTTCTGCAGTCTGTTAGTGATTCACTCGTGACCTGCTATGGACTTCATCTGGTTCCTGATCCTGCATTTTCAGAAAATTACTTTTCTTACATGATAGATTCTAATCTCTGCATCTAACTATTGCTTTGCAATTCAGAGGTTAAATCATCTGCAAGCTTCACATAGGAGGCAATCCTCAAACATACTGCCATTTGCCTGGGATCCCACACTGAAACATCTCTTCTTTCTTCCCTCCACAACCACTTACACAATATACTTTCTGAACTTTTCAACTTAGACTTCTCAAAAAAATATATATGTATGTTTTTAAATGTATATGTATATATATTTGGACACAACCTTCACTTATTGAGAAGTATCAAACTCAATCTTCAGATCTGTACCCTTCTAACCACAAGAGGATCAGGAGACCAAATCATTGGGGCAAATTGTGACACATATCAATGGTTGATGTTTAGGCTAGAGCTACTGACTTTATAAGGAACTATAAACCAAAAAACGTGTTTTAGGCCAGGTCCACATGCATAACTTGGTCATACTGGTCAAAGGAGAGCCACGACAGTCATTTTAATTGCTAACCTGGATCACAGAATGACTGATTGTATGTATACAGCGACTCAAGTGGCCATGCATGTAAACACAACCTAAATTCCAGTTGACAGTCTACACGTTTTTGGAAAAAACAAATAAATCAATGTAACGTGGGCTAGAAGGCCTCCAAGATACTAATTCTTCCTTTCATACCATAGCTTTTTCTAACTGGGCTTTGAGTCTTGGTTCTAGGACTGCTGTTGTATGTACTTCTAAGAGGTACTCTTTCCCATCACCACGCTCCCTTAAGAACCCTTAAGACATGATACATTTGTGCTTCTGAGTCATAAGAGAGGGACCTTCTAAAGATTCAAGATAATATCTTTTAAAATCCCTGGCCTAAAAATTACTAAACAAATCAATACACAACATTTGTTCCTTTGCTTTTAAAATGAGTGGGCTGTACATTTCAATAGATAGGTCCACACAGTATATAACTGGGAATAAAGACAAAAATGGAAAAGTTGTAGTTTCCAAAAAGAAAACTAGTCTATATAAAGTTAGTGTTAGTGGTTTGGGGGAGGAACACTGTGAATAGGTTTAAAAAAACATTGGAAATGAGATTTCTTTTAAGAACTTTCTGTCCCACACAGAATCTTTAAAATAGAGAATTATACAAAACTTATCTACTGTTCTCATGACATTTAAATAAGTTAACACAAAGAGGAAAATATGGTGTTAATTTTCTTCTTCCTCGTCCTCTTTAATTACTGGAGTACCTAAAATGAAAAAGAAAATTATTTCTGTTTATTCTCAACAGGTTGTTCAAATTATTATTTTGGGGGGGTATTAAAATTCTAAATGAAGCCGGGCGTGGTGGCGCATGCCTGTAATCCCAGCACTCGGGAGGCTGAGGCAGGAGGGTCACTGCAAGTTTGAGACCAGCCTGAGCTACACAGTGAGTTCCAGAGCAGTCTACATAGTGAGACCCTGACTCAAAACAAAAACAAAAACAAAAAACAAAAAAAATTCTAAATGAAATATTTTCTTGTTAACCTGAGAAGCTCTAAGATGCTGTGAAATGTGACATAATAAAATAGTTTCATGAAATAAACTCGTAAATTTCAAATTCACTAGAAAGCCTCTCGGGAGAATTCACAAGTGGATTAATATACTTATGAATATACAGCTCCCTAAGTATGGAGTTGTATATAAACATGCCTACAAGTGCCTGCAGAAAATGAGATGGCTGGGGGTGGCACACGCCTGTAATCTCTCATTTTTTTTCTTTTCTTTTTGGTTCTGGGGATTGAGCCCAGGGGCTTGGGCATACTTTTAAATGTTAAAAGATTTTAAAAGCAAACTATTAAAGATTATATCATTTCATCCTCATAACAACGCTGAAATGATTCCTAATGATATTGTTATCTTCTCCAACTTTTATTTTACAGTGAGCAAGGTTTGGTAACATTAATTAAGTAGCACAATGTCACAAATACTGTAAGTGGTGGAGCTAGGACATGACCCAGTGAGTCAGTGATATCTAGTGACGTTAATATGAATCTCAGCGGTTGGGAAACTTAAACTGAGGAGCAGGGGTATGAGACAGAACACTATAGTTTTGACCCAACGGTGATACAGCAACTACTTATCATTTATGTCTAACTGTTACACGCAGTATTTCTGTGACTTGAGTTAAAATAAGCCAACGTTTTTCTACGAGATCTTGATAGAGGAATGATCTTGTATCATCCCAAACATCCTAGGAGTTTTCCATCTCACTTTGGCATAAACTGGACTGTTAAATTTCATATGAACAGAAATGGTCTTTAAGATTAGGGACAATCATCATTTTCTTCAGTTTTACTCATTATAATCCCATGCCAAAAATTCCATTTTTATAACTAGAAAACATTTCTAAGCTAGCCCATCCAGAGTCACTCACCATCCAGCTTCTTTAGTTTGGGCACTCTCTTGGTTGCTTCCTCAATCCAGTTACCCTCAGCAGAATGTTTCTCTTCTAAAGGATTGCCTACAAACACCAGGTCTTCCAGGCATGGCAGGTCTGTCAGTTTCACAAATTCAGCTGTAAGAACAAAGAACACTTTCCACATTAGAACCGTAAGTTTTACTGTTATAATTTTGGAGATGGAATTCCAAATCACTACCTTCAACGTGTGACCATTCAGGACAATTAGTTTGAAATTTTGAAGAAGGTTAGGGAAATTTTACTACATGAAGTTATGGTCTGAGGACATTTGGGATAGGAGGGAAAAAAAGACTTTTCTCATCTACCTTTAATGCTAGCCTAAGGAGGGGACAGGAAGAGGAGAAAAGGGTCAGAGCTGAAAAGGACCAGTTGATTTACAGAGATAAATATTCTCTTTGCTGCATTTCATCAGTGTAGGCTAAGCTAAGCTGCTTTTGTCTCTATTCCTTCATCCTCAAATTCTTATAGCAACTCATTCACATAAGTATTGCAGAACCTGTCATAAAAAATTATAATTATTAGTTTATAAATGAATTTTCCCCACAAAGCCATGAGCTCCTTGAAGACAGGGATAGTTTCTATTCAATTATGTATTTCGAGTCTGGCATTGATTATGCACATAACAGGACTTTAGTATATGCTGAATTAATAATGTACAATAAAAAAGCAAAGCAATATAGATATCAAATCTTCCACTCAAGGATTATTAGATTTAAGCTGATTCTTTCAGCCTTAGAACAATAGTTATTTTTTTCATGACTAATAGGATAAGGACCTACCTAATTATATTTGTTTTAAGTAAAAATTTAAATATAAAGTCATGCATTTAAAATTTAGGAATTCTTATACTGTTTCTATAAAAAATATAGGAAGTTCTGTAGCTATTACTCTCTGTGCTTAGAAATAAATGTTTCCCATTTCACATCTTATTCTCTCTTGCGTATGTTCTAGAAAGATGAGGGAGATAGTTAGGGAAGATCCATTCTCAGCTTACCCCAGTCTTTTACCAGGTTATTAGACATGTAGAGAATCTTCAATTTTTTCATAACATGGATCCCTTTCAACTTTTCAATAAAATTGTAGGAGATCCACAGTTCTTCTAATGTGTCCCCTACAGCTTCCTGAAAAAGAAATCAATCTAATTTACGTGCTTATTTTTAAACTTACCCTTCTGTTTCCTTCGTTATAAACATGGACAATGGCTTTCAAAGAAAGCAGACTTGCTTGTCCACTTGTAGGACAGCTGACTTTTATGTGGAAGTTTTATCCCCCATTAAGGAATGAAATAGAACATTCTCTTTCCCTCTGAAGTCTTCCTACTTTGATTGTTTCACTGAGTAAAAATTCATAAAACATTCTTTACCAAGAATAGCTATGCAATAATCAAGAGGAGAAATAATGGCACTATCATATCACTTTTATTGAACGATATAGTTTCTAATTACTATCCTATTGATTATATATATAATTTGGTCTTTTTTCCCCCTGCAGTAATGGGAATTAAACCCAGGGCCTTTGCACATTCCCTAGCCCTTTTTTAAAAAGCTTGAACTTGAGATTTTCCTGTCTTATATTCCCAAAGTGCTGAGATTATAGGAATACACTAACATACACAGCTTATTATTTAGTCTTTACATTTAAAGTAGATAAGCTCTTTGATTTCTATTATAAGAGACTTTAGGGCTTTTAAAAAAATAACAAAGAAAAGAGTTGTAGTAAAATTAACACGGAAATAAAATCTAAAGAGAATTTCAAAAGGTATTGCAGTCATTCCAAACAACATATTTGTAAGCAGGTAATGAAGACAAGCTTTTGGTGAAGTAATCCAATAAATATCAATAAATAAAACTGGTGAAGTCATCAGTGAAATCTGTCATTCATTAAACTTGGCCTTTGGAAAACTGGACATTGAGTGAATAGGAATCGAATAAACTGGTCTGCTTTTGCTTGTGAACAAATCCTTTCTCCCCTTAGCAGCTTTCCTCACCCCCTCTCCCTCCCCCTCTTCCTCCTCCTCCTTTTTAAAGGCAGAGTCTCACTTTGTTGCTGAGCTTGCTCTTGGACTCCTGGGCTCAAGCAATTCACTTGCTTCAGGTTCCAATGCAGCTGGACTACAGGTGTGTACCACCATGCCTAGCTTCTTCCCTCACTTTCTTACTCTGTAAAATGAGGAGACTGGCATAATGATATATCACCTCACATCCATTAGTAAAGCTACTATAAAAACAGAAAATAATAAGTGTTGACAGGGATGTAGAGAAATTGGAACCTTGAATACTTTGGTGGGCATGTAAAATGGTCTAGATGCTATGAAAAACTGGAAGTTCTTTTAAAAACTAAAAATAGAATTATGTGATCCAACCATTCCAGTTCTAGGCATATAACTAAAAGGAATGAAAGTGGAGTCCCAAAGAGATATTTTACACCAGTGTTCAGACAGCGTTATTTACACAATAACCAAAGAGCAGAAGCATTGGAAGCATCCCGAATGAACAAAGAAATGGTGTAGATATATGCTATAACAGAATATAGTACATTTTATATATTTTATCAGATTTAAACACTGGAAAATGAAGTTTGACAAGAAGTTATCTTAACATCTTTTCAGTTATTGAAATTTATTGTTTTTTGAGGTCAAAAAATCACTATGAGTATTGAAATGAAAAAAAATTAAGCGTCTGCTCTGTGAATAGTATGTTGAAGGGTCAAGGAATAGGAAGGGCTTTATGAGGTACTGTAAAACCTCTTGATTTGGACCATATAAAATAATGGATTATTATTGTTTTGTATAAAGTAATAAATTTGGAAAACATTGCTTAGAAGTCTTTAGGAAGATATAATTTGTACATAGCTAAAAACTGTAGGTAGTTGATTACAACATGTAAAATAAATAGCTTTTATCTTATAAATGGTAAATTGTTAGAAATTACTTCACAGCAACAAAAACTGTAAGTTACCCAGGCATATATTTTTTCAATAAATGTATGAAAGCTTATTGAAATTAAAACTATAAAATTCTGCTGAGGAACCAAAAAAATCTGAATAAAACTTGTAAGGGAAGATTCTTCTCTTCTTCATTTTAGTTACGTATTTATTTATATCTACAGACATGTGAATGCAAAAAATTTCTAAATATAGACAAGTTGGGACAAAGTAAATACACATTCAAGATTGTGATAGATATTGCCAAGTGGCCTATCTCAGCAACAGTGTTTAAGAATGTCTCTTCACCACACTTGGGCATTTTACATAACTAACTGAGCCTCATTTCTTTATTTTAAAATAGGATAATGTCATTATTACTTGTGAGTTTGAAATGAGACAATGCATGTCAAGACCTTGCTACAGAGTTAAAAAACAAAAATTTACTATTTTAACTATTTTTAAATGTACAGCTCAGTGTATTAAATGTATTTGTACTGTTATGTAACTATCACCACCATCATTTCCATAGCTCTCTTCATCTTACAAAATGGAACTTCTATACCCATAACACAACGACTTTTACTTTGTGTCTCTATGGATTTGACTAGACTTTTGTACTTTTGTGACTGGCTTATTTCATTTAGCATAATGTTCCAAAAATGGATAGTATCTACAAAGTTGAAGATGCCTAACATTAAAATAGGTGCCCAGCACTGTAGGGATAGTTACATGGCACATAATGATGTTTCAGTTAATGAACAGCTTAAAGGCTTTCCTAAATAATTTAAATAAAACCTTCTTCTTAAATGTAAGACTTCATGTTTCACACATTATAATAATCATTTGTGATTTGTTGATTCGGCTATTTAAATCATGCTACTATGCTGTGTTTGGAGTAATTCAGCTACTTAAAGCCCAGCATTCATATCCCCATGCAGCTTTATTATTCTTCAGTTTACACATAAGTAGTAAAGGTTTTATTTATTTATTTATTTGGATTTTTTTGAAACAGGGTCTCACTATGTAGTTGAGACTGACCTGGAACTCACTATGTAGCCCAGGCTGGTCTCGAACTCACAGCGATCCTCCTGCCTCACAGCCTCCCGAGTTCTGGGATTACAGGTGGGCACCACCATGCCCAGCTAAGTAGTAAAGGTTTTAGATGCACACATAATATACCCCAAGCCCACACAATACATACTGGAAAGAAAACCAACTGATGGTGTGTGGATAGGAGTGTGTAGAAAGTGAAGAGATTTAGGGCTGGGGTGTAGCTGTGTTGAAGAGTGCTTGCTTAGTCATGCATGAAGCCCTCAGTTAAAATCCCAGCCCTGGGGGGGTATGATTTTTAAATTATTTTAAAAAATTAAATCATATCCTCTGATCTAAAACCTCCAATGGCTTCACAAGAAACTTGGGGGTGGGGATTTAAAATCTTATCATGGCTGTAAGGCTCTGTGTGTCCTGGTTCCTGATTCTCTGTCTAGCACCACTGAGGACCTTGCTCCTTTTCCCAGTCAACTCCTGCTCTTACTCAAGCACCAAGCAGGGCATTTTCACTTGCTGTACCCTTAGCCTACAGCTTCACAGTCTACATCCTCACTTCCACAGGGAGGATGACCCATCACTCTGTTTTTTCTTATTGTGCCTCATTGAACTTATCACTACCTAATATATTATACAGTTAACATTTAGTATGCAGCTCTCAACGATAATATAAATTCTGTAAGAGCAAGACTGTTTTAATTATTTAAATTAAAAAAAATTTTTTGGTACCAGGGATTGAACCTGGGACCTTGCACTTGCGAGGCAGGCAGCACCACTGAGCTAAATCCCTGGCCCAAGACTGTTTTGTATTCTACCATATCTGTACTGCTTAGGTAAGTATTCAGGAAATACATATATGTGGACTCCACATTTGTTGAATGACATACAAGAATGATTTTTACATTTTAATCTAAATGGGAACGCAAAACAGTATGTATAGTAGCAATTTCATTATCAATATACCCATTAAAAAACCTAAAATAAAAGGCAAAAAGTCAGGTATAATGGAACATGTCTGTAATCCCATCACAACGGGAGGTTGAGGCAAGAGGATAGGAAGACTGAGACTAGCTCAGGCAATTGAGCAATTTAGCAAGACTCTTGTCTCAAAATGAACAAATAAACAAACAAACAAACAGGACAGGGATGTATCTCAGTGCAAAGGTGCTGGGTTTAATCTCCAGTACCAAGAGATGGGGTGGGGGGGTAACAAAGATGTAAATCAAAATGTTAGCAGCATTTAAATTATCAGTGGTTTACAGGTACTTTTTACACCTGCTTTCTACTTTTTATAATGAGAAAAAAAATATGTTAAAAAAAAGAAATAACAACCTACCAGTCCATTTAAGTTCTTTATGTTGTTTCTTCCTAAAGACAATATCCTCAAGTTTTCTATAGTGGAAAGAAAGCACATTTTGTTATGAGAATCATATTACACAACTGTTATGATCTAGTACAATGAAGCTTTAATAAATTTTATACAATAAATATCCTTGTAAATGAGTAAAGAAAGGTTGTATTAGTAAAAAAAAAGAAAAGTAATCAGAAAGGAAATACCATTGACCTATCATCTAAAATAAGCACTACAACTATAATTTTACAACATGCCAATATTAATTTTAAAATTGATTCGCTGTTTGGAATGCATGGTTTTCTTTTTTTTTGTACCAGGGATTGAATTCAGGACCTTGTGCTTGCAAGGCAGGGTGCCACTGAGCTAAATCCCCAGCTGCATGGTTTTCAGTGGTTGACCAGTAAAAATATTATAGAAATAAGAATAAAGAAGGGCTGGGGATTTAGCTCAGTGGTTCTGCCACATGTCTTGCAAGGGCAAGGTCCGAGTTCGATCCCTGGTACCAAAAAATAAAAACAAAAACTCTGTTGTCCTGGAATTAATTCTTATGGGCCAGGGATTTAGCTCTAGTTCTGCTGCCTGCCTCAGCCTCACAAGCACAAGGTCCAAGCACAAGGTCCCGAGTATGATTCCCAGCACCAAAAACCCCCCAAAATTATATATATATATATATGGAAACAATTTATTTTCTAATAGAAGATGAAAAAATTAATATGTGATGCTGCCCTCAAAGAGCACACTATCTAAAGAGCAGAACATATTCCCAACTATAATAGTGGCTAATATTTAATGAGCATTTTAGAAGGGCCAGGCACAATTCAAAATACTACCTATATACTAACTCATGTGATAGTCACAATAAGTATATGAGGTAATTATTACTATAATCTAAGATTGACTATTATAAATACTGTATTCTCAGAAAAGTAATTATGATAATGGAAATTAGAAAAGTCTTTGGGAGGATGACATAAAGATGTGACTTTTTCTTTTTTTTTGTACTAGGGATTGAACCCAAGGCCTTTACACTGCGCTACCTCCTAGTCTTTAGTTTTTAAGTTTGAGACAGGGGTCTCATTAAGTCACTAAATTGCCCAGTTTGAGCTGAAACTTGCAGTCTTCCTGTCTCAGCCTTCCAAAGTGCTAGGATTACAAGTGTGCACCACCAAGCCAGGCTTCTTGTTGTTCTTGTTTTGAGGCAAGTTGATTTGTAGCATAGGCTGGCCTGCAATTTGCTATTTAACTCAGGCTGGCCTTGAATTCGAGGTCCTTCTAAGTACTGGGATTAAAAGAATGAGCTACCACACCTCATTTCCAAATGTGACATCCTTAATCCTTATTTCTTAGAGAACCGTTTTCAGTGAAAGGCACTGCTCTAACAAATGTACAAGTTTATTTAAAAATGGCATATTTGGGGCCAGGGATTTATCTCAGTGGTTCCACCGCCTGCATTGCAAGCACAAGGACCCGAGTTCGATCCCCAGTGCCAAAAAAAAAAAGGCATATTCGGATAGGTATAAGTAGCACAAGCTCTTAGATGATGTTGTAACATTTGTCTTTATTAGGCAAAGGGGAGACATTAAAAGGTCTCTAATTTAGGGGAAAGATATAAAAGTAATGTTTTCAGAAGAAATTTCATCATTGGTATCAGTGATGAAAATCAGCTGAAAAACAGAATGAAGAAAAAGAAATCAATTTAGGAGGCTATCACAAAAGTCCTACACAGTATTTTTCAAACTATGGGTCATGACCCATTGCTGTAATAGATTAGGAAATCAATTTAGTATGATCAACTAAATTTAAAAAAGAAATTAATGCCGGACATGGTGGTGCACACCTGTAATCCCAGCACTCAGAAGGCTGAGGCAGGAGGAGTCTCAACTACATAGTGAGACCCTGTCTCAAAAAAAAAAAAAAAAGGAAAAGAAATCAAATTGTAAAAATATACACTGGAACATATGCTAAAATATATATGTATGATATATTTACATAAATAAATAATGCATTCATATGTATTTTTACTTCAGAAACTGGTCAAAAATGCTTGAAAAATATGATGTAGGGGCCAGGGATGTAGCTCAGTGGCACAGTGCCTGCCTGGCAATTGCAAGGTCCTGAGTTCAATCCCCGGTACCATAAAAACAAAGAAAAATATGATCTAAAGAAAAGCTAATATGATTCTAAGTTCAAGTTGTAGCTCCTAGAAGTGGAAAAGCAACAAATTATTTAAGAATTTCTTCAAAGAACAGAATTAACAGGACTTAGTGATGAACTTACATGCAGGGTTGAATGGAAGAAAAGAGAGAATGTATTAGGCTAAGTAATGGCTTCCCAAACCAGGCTTGGTGGTACACATTTGTGATCCCGGCTACTCAAGAGGCTGAGGCAGAAAGATCAGTGTGGCCAGTGTGAGTAACTTAGTGAGGCTCTATCTCAAAATAAACAGAGCTGTAATTTAGCACAGTGGTAGACACTTGCCTAGCATATGTGAGGCCCTGGGTTCAATCCTCAGTATGGGAAGAGAAAATGCCCCCCAACGATACCTATATTCTAATCCCTGGAACCTGTGAATATTACCTTAGGTGGAAAAAAAAATACTTTGTAGGTTTGATTGAGGATCTTGAGATGGGGACATAATCTTCAATATCTAGGAGTACTCCAAAGGCAGGCACATATATCCTCAGGAAGAGGAGGCAGAACTTTGACACAGATAGAATAGGAAATGGTGATTCAAACATGGAGGCAGAGACTGAAAAATAGTCAGGAGCCCAGGAATGTGGCAATCATCAGAAGATAGAATAGGCAAGAAGTCCTCCCTCAAAGCCTCTGAGGGAGTGTAGCTTTCTTTTGGCTCAGTGAAACTGATTTCCAACTTCTGATCTCCAAGTAAATTTCTGTTGCTTTACATCACCAAATTACAGTAGCCATTAGAATTCATTGAGAGAATGGGGGCCTTGGGAACTGGGAGGAGGGCAGCGATGTCATTGATCAGCATAGAGAACACAGGAAAAATAGAGGGTAAGGAAGTAAATTTTAAATATAACAAGTCTGAAATACATACAAAACATCTGCACAAAGAAATGTACAATAAAATCTGATATTCTATTTAAATCATCTCAATTTTAATTCCATAAAAAGCTTTAAAAGGTCTTTAAAATGTTCAGATCTCATATAATTTCTAATTTTCTTTGGATAATCAAACTTAAGAACACATGGTTTATATATTCACTCTGTCATCTGACAATTATTTGGTTAAAACAGGTGATTGCTTCTAGAACTACATACTGTCTTTGGAATGTTTATTCTACTAACTAGGAAAATTTAAAAAAATTTGTTATTGTGGGTCACTTACTTAAACCATTCAGGTTGGCAATTTTTTCAATGCAATTTGTAGACAGTGAAAGCTTCCTTTGAAAGAAAAAAGAAAAAAATGGAATTAATATGAAAAACTTATATATCAGAAATCATGTATAATATAATACAAACACTTAAGTCATATTTTTTTTTGACACTGATTCCTCTTTTCCTTTAGTCTTGGAATTTATCCTTTCATTTTTGAAATCTTTTCCCCTCTTTGATTATAAAAGCTAATACAGAGTCATTGTAGAAAATATAAAAAACATTTTTGAGAGCAATTTTGTGTTATTAAAATTTTAACAATGTGTTCTTTAACTTCTAGGAATACATCCTAGTAAAATACTAACACAAAAGTTGAAAGATATATCAAATAAATATATTATTGTAATAGAAAAATCGACAATAATCTATTAACTCAGGAATAGATAATGAAATACTATTCTGCCACTGAAAAAAGAAATTCTGTGGGTATGGTGGCACATGCTGGTAATCCCAGCACTCAGAAGGCTGAGGCAGGAGGATTATCATGAGTTTGAGGCCAGCTTCGGCTACACAGTGAGTTCCAGGACAGCCTGAACTATATATATAGAGAGGGACTGGGCTATAGGTACTGACTTAGGAAGCTATCCATGACGTAAGTTAAATTTAAAAATCATCTAGCAGATGGTTAAAAACACCAAACCAACCAAAACAAAACACCCTCCTAAAAACCCCAGAAATAAAATGTATATTTGCATTTGTGAGGTTATATTTTTTCATGTGTAAAATCATTCACAAATGTATATTTAAAAATATAATCCTACTTGTCTGCATATTCCACCAGAGATATTTATTTTTAAAAGTTTGTATATATTATTCTTTCTGTATTTAATTATATAAAAGCAAAGTAGGGCGGGGATTTAGCTCAGTGGTTCCAGTGCCTGCCTCAAAAGCACAAGGACCTGAGTTCAATCCCTGGTACCAAAAAAACAAAACAAAACAAAAAAACAAAGTATTTAAAGGGAACATAATTATACATTCTTTGTTATTCTTTCTGAATTAAAATGTTTAATATCTCAGTAAATTTCAGGCTAAAAAAGGCTAATTTTGTTGAACACTTAAAGTGTCCAAGTATCAATCTAAACACTTTACATACATTAACTATTTTAATTATCACAATCTTTTGAAATACATATTATTATTTATAATTTACAAATGAAACAAGCACAAAAAGTTAAGCAATTTTTCCAATACCACACAGCTACAAAGTAATAGGTCTGAAATTCTAACCCAGGTGAGTTTGACTCTCATGCATCTTATTCATTTTCTATCTGCTTGAACATCAGAAACAAGTACTACATATTGTAAGAACCTGAGCAAATCTGTATATTTTCTAGTCATTTCCAACTCCTGAGAACTGCCAGTAGAAAGTGGAGGGCTTTTAAATCTAGGAAGATGGTTTCAAAATAATTCTTTAATTCTGTTTTGGCAGCCTGCCCAAAGAGATTGTCAACACAAATGTAAACAGGTTGACTCTTTTGAAGTGATTTGTAAGGCACTTTGATACAGAAAACAAAACCTCAAATATGTTTGCCTTTGCTATAGCTTTCTGATAAAAAGATATTGAATACTTTAAAACAGTGACAGCGCACTTGTTAGAATGCCCAAAATGCAACCCAAAACCCACTTATATATTGCAAAGTGACAACACTCCAATGAAACCTGAATACAGAGGTTTTAGTTAAAAAAAAAAAAAAACTCATACATTAACATCTTTTTTGTTAAAAAAACAAACAAAAACAAAGAACATGCATCCACATGTTCACCACTACTTTGGTAAAAAATGCTTAAAGTTAAAAAAGCATTCCAGAGTGTATCAAACAGGATGAAGATGTCAGAAAGAATGTCAGGGACTGTATGGTATTCAATAGTCCTGAGAAGAGAAGCTGGAGCCTAAAAACGTGGTTATAAGGTATCATGGTAAAATTGCCTCAACTTAGCCACCAAATCCTGCTAAAATTTTTTTTGTATAATATGTAGAAAATAATAAATTGGTACAGATCTGGTACTTAATGTTATAAGTAATAGGATCACAAAATAAGGATAATATGAACTCAAAGTTTTTTTAAAGTTAGGTATTATCTTAAGTATCAAGTAAATACTTAGTTCTGACTTTGGTGGATAATTTCATAAGAGGAAGGAGTAGATTTTATGCGAGAGTAAGAGTTTATTGTGTTCCTTAGCTTCTCCAAAAAGACTGACATTTCTATTTCCAAACATAATAAAAAATTATACAGAAAAAATATTGTACTACTCAGTATTACTCTATTAACAATCTTATAAAGCAATAATCTTTCATATTTGGTCTTGGCAAAGGGAAATTATAATAAACAAAGAAAAATACATAAATTAAATTACTGAAAACAAATACTTCCCAGTTTGTGTATTTAAGAGAAGGAAGGAAAACTTTATAGCAATACTAGAAGGATGAAAAAAGAGAACTTACTCGCAATTAGCAAGTGTGGACAAGGAGGCATCCATCTTCTCTATTGGGGGAATCTGGGCATAAAGCTTTATCTCTTTGGCTTCAGATGGCCTCTGGCCAGTTTTCTCTTCCTGTGGGAAAATTTATTTGGAACAAAATGATCCCTAGTTGTAATGTGCAATAAGAGCCCAGAATTTCCCAGGTCCTTTCAATGATTATTTCATAGAATTTTATAACTATTTAACAAGTATTTACCATTCACTTATTGGAACCTCTAATTGCTAACCCTAATAACAAAAGTCTTTACATGGCTGAATAAGGGAACTGTTACCAAATGGAAATAAGGAGAAAAGACAATAAATTTTATTTTTGTAGTATTTAAGATCATTTATTTAAGTGTTTCCAATTAATAAAACAAAAATATAAGAAAAAATTTTTCCTAAAAAGAATTTCTTGTCCCTAAAAAGCACTTTCTTTAAATGTCAGATTCATACCCATAAGATCAACTGTTTTGCCATTTCATCTTCAATTTTTCCATATATGGTTCAATTTAAACTAGAATCCCAAGGTACTAATAATAATTTAAAAAGATATTCTCTTTACAATTATAGCTGTGATCAGAGCCACCTGCTCCACACTAATCAACTACTAGATCTGCCTCAGAGTTTAATTTAGTACTAGGCACACAATTTTAATTCTCTGTATATACTGACTATTACTATTTTCCGATCACTTCATTACTTAGAGTTAGTTCTACCATTCTAACAAAACTTAAAGCTCAGGGAATAATTCTTATATTTTCTATAGCCTACTATACTGTAAGACACAAAAACAGCTCATCTAAAAATCAGATTTTCACATATCAAAAATAGAAAATATACAATAAACTGGACACAAGAGATCTAAGACATCCATGCAGTACTTATTTATTTATTTATTTTTGCCATATATTTGTAAGTTAGGAGAGAGGAAAATAACACCTAGTAAGTCTTTAATAAGTGTTAGAGTATCATTTGTGGCAACATGAGGCTAGAAGACTCATTCATTTTAAGTAAAATGTGCCAGACACATACATGAAAGGTGGGAGCAGAATAGCGGTAACCAAAGGTTGGAAAGAGGATAGGAAAGATAGGAAGGGGTTTGGTCAACAGTATCAAATTACAATGAGATGAGAGGAATAAATTCCAATGTTCTATAGCACATCATGATGACTAGAGTCAACACTAACATGTTACGTATTTCAAATAGCTGTGAGAGGATTCTGAATGTTTTTATCACAAAGAAACGATAGATGTTTGAGGTGATGGATATCACTGTTACCCCCATAAACATGTACAATTATGAGTCAATGAAGAATTGTTTAAATGTTAAAGAAATAAATATTGGATTAATCAATGAAAGAGTGAGCTTGATGCCTTCAAATAATCTTAAAGTCAAAGACAGATGGTGATAATATATGGAAGTTATAAGCCAAAACAAACAAAAACTCTACTAGTTACTGAAAACAAATAAGATAAAATTCTAAAATCCAGTTCAAGGAAAATCAAATCTAAGTTTACTTTGTACTATTTTTTCTCTAATAAAATATATCTTATAAGTTTTTTTTTTTTTTTTTTTTTTTGGTAACAGGGATCGAACTTGGAGCCTTGCGCTTGTGAGGCAGGTGGTGGAACCACTGAGCTAAATCCGCAGCCCCTATCTTATAAGATTTTTAATCAAACAGAAATGAACTTTTAAAATGCAATTAGAATAAATAAGAAATTTATAAGCACTAAAACAAAAATTCAAATATTTCATTATTCAATTCACCTCTTTTCTGTTCCCTAGACACCAAGGCTCCTAAAAGACTTTTTTATTCAAACTAGCTACAAAAGCAATGTATTCAACATTATGCAACAAACTACATAACATAAACAAAGAAGTTATCACTGGGCACAAAAATTAGAGTCATCTCTGTGATCAATACAAATTCTATCTAAAATTCTGAATTTCAACTTTTGAAACTATGTTGCAATATTCAAAATATTTATAGTGTATATATTTAATGTATGTTTTTTGACAATGTGGTTTCCTCTCTAATATTACTATTATAGACAGCTGAGTTAGGTAGAAATATTATAGACAGTTAGATAGGGCCAGGTCCTTGAGAGAGTCAGGACAAAGGTGAAACATACTACAACTGCAGCCAGAGACATATCTGATGAAGATCAGGCCTCAAGATAAAGGCAAGATGACTAGACCTATATACATCCTCAAAGGACAAACACTGGGCCTAATGAAGTTTAGATAGACATTGGCTAATGATGTCAGACATCACCACCCAGTGGGTGACCAGAAACCTCTAGACCATTTCCTAGGACAAATCTTTGTTCTTTCCATGCACAATTGTTACATGACTTGTTTCCTAATTGGACCATTATTACCTAAGTGACTATATTTGTAACCTTATTGGTGGTCATGGTTGTGGCCCACGTTGTATCCACTTGGGTTTTGCTCTATACAATGCCCCTATAAGTGGGGTCCCTGGTTACCCATTTGGGATCCCTCCTGCCTCTCAGGAGCTATCCTATTAATGTTCCTACTTCTTACTCTTCCTACTCTTAACCTCTGTTGTTCCTAGAATTCATTCTTCAATTTTTAGAGAACATGAGCTTCACATATCAGATGGCTAACAGGTTGAGAGATATATTTCATATTTCATCTCTGGTATTATTTCCTGTATCAGCACTATATAAGTTAGTATTTTTACTCCATGTTCTTTCAGTTGTCTATATGTGATATACATTCGTCTACACTGGCTGCCTCTGTTCTCATTTCTATGAAGGTAAAACCATTTTCTAACTAAAGCCTAGACCAGTGGCGGCAAACCTTTTAGAGCTTTCAATGATAACAAGAAGCCTGCTGCAGCATGTGTGCCACAGGTTTGCCACTGCTGGCCTAGAAAAGCTACAACACATATCATTCTGTCACTTCAAAATGACATATAGTCTAATGAAGAAGTCGAAACAGAAAATGTAGTATAACACAAACATTCCAGCCATTTTATAGCAATAGATGAATCAAGCTTTCCATTGTTAAATTTTCAAGTAGTCAGAATTTTTTTTTATCTGAAAGTGAATGGGCATATTTGAAGATGCATTTGCAGTTATAAAAATAATGCAAGTGATGGAGATGTAGCTCAGTGGTAGGGTGTTTGCCTAGAATATGGGAAGCCCTAGGTTCAATCCTCAGTATCATAAAAACAAACAGGACTCAGAGAGATACCTTTGTATAGTTTGCCCAATATTTTATAACTAGGGTATTACTATTAAGACAATCATTCAATTTTATTCAGATTTTCCCAAATTTATTTGGGCTCATTTGAATTGTGAATATGTATATATGTGTATGTATATATGTGTATTAAGCTCTATATACAATTTACTTTTGTGATAATAATGTAGATGAATGAAATCTAGGGCCTTGCACTTAATAGGCAAATGTTCTACCACTGAGCTACATCCCTTACTCAAATCCTATGCAATTTTATCACTGTGTAGGTTCATGCATCCACTACCACAGAACAGTTCTATTTCTACAAGGTTCCCTTATGCTGAATGGTTAGACTTAAATAACTATCCAAAATTTCCTTGTATGATTTCTAAAAGAAGGAAAAACTCATATACTCACCCATTTGGCTAAGGCCTCTTTGATTGTTGTTGCTTTTGCCTTAAAAAAAAAAAAAGGAAGAAGAAAAAGAAACAAGGCTGACTTTACTAGTAAGATTTTTAAATTTATTTTTCATACAAAAGTTATTAGACTTGGCTTCTACCATTAAAATGATTAATTTCTTTCACTTTATAGGTAAAATTATGTTTTAATATCTGAAATCAAAATGATTTCTTTAAATACCTCTCAGAGAAAATAAGGAAATCATTATGTAATGCATACATGGTTTACAAAAACTAAATGGCTTTCAAAAGTTGATAATAATATATATCTTAATTGATTTTTTCTTTTTTTTTTTTGGTACCAGGGATTGCACTTGAGACCTTGCGCATCAGGTGGAGGAACAACTGAGTTAAATCCCCAGCCCCTTTTCCCCATTTTAATACTGAAATTTGTATGCATCTTACAATCAGCAACAATTTATAATTGCTGTGGCAGGATGGTAATGGTAAACTTTTAGAAAAATACTGAAAATTTTATTTCATATACATATATTCCTTCTAATATTTACAAAAGATGATATCTGACAAAAATGTGTAAGTCTAAAACATTTAAAATAACTTATCAGCCAGATGTGGTGGTGAACGCCTATAATCCCAGCTACTCAGGAATCTGAGGTAGGAGGATTGCAATCAAAAGTAAAAAGAGGACTGGGAAGAGCAGTTGCCTAGCATGTGAAAGGTCCTAGATTAAAAAACTGGCACCGCAAAAACAAAAACTGTGTCATTAATTATAAAATAAAAATTATAAATGATAAGAAAGCACTTGTCACTGGGAGTGGTAGCCTACACCTATAATACCAGAAGAAGGGAGGCTGAGGTTAAAGGATCACTGTTCCAGGCCAGCCTGAACTACATGGAGAGCCTGTCTCTCTCTCTCTCTCTCTCTCTCTCTCTCTCTCTCTCTCACACACACACACACACACACACACGAATTTGTCTAACTTATTTTTCTTAGTATTAGAATATAAAATGTTGCTCCTTATAATCAATATCATCTTAGATTCAATTTAATATTATATATAAAACTTTGAAGGTACACAGGGAAGATGTCCTTAATGAATTATTGCTGGAGTTAATTTAAAAAAAGAACTCCAGGGATTAGGGATTTAGGTCAGTGGCACGACATCTGCCTTGCAAGCAGAAGGTCGTGAATTCATCACCCCCCCAAAATCCTTAAATAATAACAAAAGGAAAGAAAGATATCACTATGTCTAGAAAGTAAATATGCACTGTTAAATAATGCCTGCATCAAAAATATATAAAATAGGGCCTGGGATGTACCTCAGCAGCTCCTGCACCTGCTTGGCAAGTGCAAGGTCCTGAGTTCAATTCCCGATACTAAAAGAAAAAAAAAGATCAAGATGATATTTGTAGATATTCCAATTCCCTAAGATGAATATAATCATTGTGTCACAGCATATTAATAAAAAATTTTAAAACAAGAAATTAAAAACAAGTGAGCATTTAAGACATTTTTAAAAAGTACATTATTGCAAATTCAAAGACAGAAGAAAATATAAAGAATGAAGTCAATGAAAAACAGAACAGCTAGGGTGATGGTGCACGCCTATTATTCCAGTATTCAGGAGGCTGAGGCATGAGGATCACCTTGAGTTCAAAGCCATCCTGGGCCATATAGTGAGCTCAAGGCCAGTCTGCATTACATAGGAAATCCTTGTCTCAAAAAAAAGCAACCCAGAACAAAGCAAAACACGGGGGGGGGGGGATGATTAACAAAACTGAAAGACAGTTCTTAAATCTCTTGCAAGACTGGGCAAAAACAAGAGATACACAAATTAAAAATGAAGAATGAATAAAATGAAGTAACTAGATAACACAGACATTAAAAAAATAAAATATCAAGCAGGGTTTGGTGGCGTACTACTGTAATCCCAGCACTCAGGAGGCTGAGGCAGGAGGATTGCTGTGAGTTCGAGACCAGCATGGTCTACATAGTGAGTTCCAGGCCGGACTCAACTACATAGTGAGACCCTGTCTCAAAAAACAAAAAACAAAAAACAAAAAACAAAAAACAAACAAACAAAAAATCATGAGCAGAATATGGCACTAGTTTTAAAACCTAGACAAAGTATGCATTTCTATAACAAACCTAAGTGTTACATTGCCACAAAAAGAATCAAAATTTTAATAGACTGATACCACTTAAAAATTTAAATCTTAAAGAGATTTACCACCATTCTCTTCCTTAAAGCTCCAAACCTAGACAGTTTTACAAGTGACTCCTAACAAGTTTCAAGAACTGGTATTCTGATACTGAGTTTGGTGATGCATACTCATAACCTCAGCTACTCAGGAAGCTGGCCCAGGAAGTTTGCAAGTTCCAGGCCAGGCCGGTAAATTTAGTGAAATCCAGTTTCAGAATAACATAAAAAGAGCTGGAGATGTATTTTAGTGGTCTGATAGTGCCTAAGGTAAATTAAGTATTCACAGACATTATAACTGAGCAATTTACAACTAATTATATTTCCCAGAGAAATCCTTGAAAGGATTATAAAAAGATACATAAAAGAACAATTTCATATAATTGTTTGCAGAAACAGAAACAATCTATTCACTGTGGCAATATAAGTTGTTTTAGGGTAGTCGTTCCCTGTATAGATAGTAGGAGACAAAAACTCAATTACCTAAAGGACCAAGTGGACATCACTAATGGGTAAGATGGTCAGGTAAGGACAGAGCCCACGTAAAGGAGGTAAATTCTACTCAGTTCTAGATAATGGTTAGCAGGTGAAACTTGGAGAAAAGAGTTTAAAATTTCATCTCATGGTAAGCAAAGCTCTTATTTCATGTACCATTAAGAAATTGCTTCTTGGCCTTTTGGCTAAGATCAAGTGTAGCCATATATCATTAAGAAAAGATGCTGCCAATTAGTATATAACGTTGTAATTCAGTAATGCCAAAACATGAAAAAATGCGTTCAATAGTGAAACATGATATTTCTGATTTTTCAGAGGCCACAAACCTGAGGTTTTTTTTAAGAGTAGGAAAAATCTATTAAGAGAAAGAAAGCTTCTGTCTAAGAGAGACAGAAGGGGGACCAGAGAGTGGGTTGCCCACTCACCCCACTTTTTAAAGATGAAAAACCTTTTTTAATGTGATCTATGATTTTTTAAGATATCAGAAGCTACTTTTTAAAAAAAGTTTAAATAGTATGTTTGTTTGTATTTCCGGAGCTCCCTGGAACTACTAGTTTGCAGCCTCATCTGGCTTCATCCAATGACTGGTTCTGTTCTCTATTTGAAGACCTTTAATAATCCCTTCAGTCCATAATTATTTAAGGCTGAGTCTTTTTTTTTTTCACCTAATATATGGAACATTTTACTTTCCTTGACAGCAGATTTCAACTAAACGCCTATAGAATAAAATAAGGATCGCAGGGCAGGTTAGGGGAAATAACTTTGTAAAAAGTGGTATTTAATGTTGTGGTTGAGGGCAGGCATGACTTTCTTCATCGTTTTAATTCCCTGAACTCAGTTTCTGCCCACTTACATAGAACTAGACACATGCACGCGCGCGCACACACACACATACACAACTGTTAATTATACTACTTTTGCTTTGTAGTTATTCATTGGTTTGTAGTGCTGGGGACTGAACTCAGGGTCTCTTGCCCACTCAGTGCTCTTCCACTAATCTATACTCTCAGCCACGTTTATTCTTTATCAACATCTGCATCCAGCAAAACAAAGCGAAGTAGTTTTGTCTGAATCCTTTCAAACCACTTGTTGGAACTACTAAGTAGGTAAGATAGAGAATGCACACTCTACGTAGGAGTTGAGAGCATTACTAGGTGAAATCACTGTTTCTTAAGAGCTCAGATAGGTCAGACCACTAGTAGTTTTCAAAAAACGATGGGACGCTCCCCAGGTTTAGAATCACTTGAGGTCTGTTGTGGAAATGCTGCGTTCCTGAACCCCCAGATCATATTAAACATTCATAATCTGCATTCCAAGTTCATACTTAACGCATACTGAAATCTGAAAAACACTGCTCTACCGTATCCACCAGAGTGGGTTGTACAGTGTTATCTAGTAACTGCGCTCAAGGCAATCTCGGTACGCAGCAGGTTAGGAATGACGGGTGCAATCGGTGCCACACGGACTCCTCTGGTAACCAAACCCCGTCCCTCTATCTCACCACTGCTGCTATGTAAAGCGATATCTATCCATGATTCCCTTCCTATCACCATTCCCGCTCCGAATCGCTCTTTGTTGAGAATTTCCTGCTCTTCACCTTCCCTTTTCTTCTGTCAAGAGTCCAGCTCCTCCACCTTAACCCAACTTCCAGTCAGTCCAGGCCATCCTTATCCCAGACCACCCCCGCCTGGGCTTCTCTTTCGCCTTAGGCCGCTGACTCCAAGGAGCTAGCATCCGCTATCCGCTCCCTTCTACTGCTCGAGGGCCCCGCCACCTTCAATACTTCACAGTCATCCTTTTCCACTCTCAATCTCCTCTTGGCTTTGGCTACGAGGCCCGGAGGGTACTCACCATTCCGGCGGTTGCTACTGTCACTGCTCTGGTTGCTAGGGCCCGCCGGGGTCAGCGCACATGCGCACTTCTCAGAGCTCGCGGCGGATGCCTCCCCGGCAGCGGACCTTTCTCTCCGCCCTTGGGGTGGCGCAGCGAAGCATTGTGGGACGGTGTGGCGGCCGCCGCGGTCCTCCTGCCTGAGAGTTTACGTTCTCGTTGTGCTCCAATGTGCTTTTCTTTACTGAAAGTATTTTCAGCTAATCAAAAGTGTCGTACTTGTCCTCGATAACCTTTACCTTTCTCCTAAAAGAACCTTTAAAATTCCTTCCCCTGAAGAGTGGCAGGGGCGAATAAACTACCTGCTGTAATTTGCCTGGCCAGCTATCTGAAGGGGAGTACCCGTAGCTAAAATGGATCGGATTTATTTTCGTACCCCAGGCCCCTGAAAACTCCGCTTTCCATGTAAAATATCACAAAATATTTTTTTACATTTCTAGGGTGTCTTTTACCCATTCAATCAAATTAGCTAAGAATTTAAAAATATATATTTTTGATAGCTTTGCTAGGGATATAGGGAACAGAGATGCACAAATACATTACTGTTTATAGTTGATACAGCCTTTCTGTAGGCCTGTGGCAATATATATTAAAATCTTTGAGAAAATTTAAACTCCTTGTGACCATCCCAGAAGTTCCATTTCTATGACTTCATCTTAAAGAAATATATTTATATTTATATTTCAAAGCTTTAATAAAAAGAAATACCAAACTGTCAACAAAAGAGAATTGGCTAAGTAGTCTTGAACATCCAAACACTGATATAGCTCTATTAAAAATACCTGAAAGGCATCTATTCACACACAAAAGATACACGATATTTTGAGTAAAAATACAAGTTATCAAACAAAAATTAGTGTGATCTTCTCTAAAAAGTATACATAGTACACCTGTATCTACATATTACTAAGGTATAATGGCTGTTAGGGACAGAATTGTGTCTACCCCAAATTCATATGTTGAAGTCCTAACCTGTGACAGTTTTTGGATACAGGGCCTTCGGGCTTATGTGAGGCCATAGTAGTGGGGTCATAATCCAGTAGGACTGGTGTCTTTATAAGAATTGTAAGAGACACCAAAAGCACCAACACAAGAGAAAAGGCTGTGTGAAGACTTTACTGAAAAGTAACCCTGCCAGAACCTTGATCTTGGATATGCAGCCTCCAGAACTGTGAGAAAATATATCTGAATTGTTTAAGCCACTCAATTTGTGGTATTATATCAGCTCAAGCAGACTAACCTAATGCTTGTCTTTTTGATTATTCTGTAATGTGAATGTCTTAATTTTTGAAGTAAATAAAATTCACTTGAAAAAACGTAATTGAATCACATTTTAAGAAAAATAACACATAGTAGCTAGGAATAGTGGTGAAAGCCTATGATCCCAGGCTGAGGCAGGAGAACAAAGTTTGAGCCCAGTTTGGGCAATTTAGAGTCTTAGGGAGCCCCTATCTCCAAATGGCATAGTAGTGCTCCATTGTATATAAAAAACACATCTTCTTTATTCACTCATCAGTTGATGGGCATTTGGACTACTTCCAAGATTTAGTTATTACAAATTGTGCTGCTATAAAATGGGTGTGTATATATTGCTGCAGTATAATGCTATTTGATCTGTCTCTTCAAAAGTAGATAAATTTTAAGCATTTCTGGATTCAAGATTAATTCCAGAAATCTTAAAGCAAACCACTATACACATATATATATATATGTATACACAGTATATATATGCACACACATACATATATAGATATGTACATTTAGGTATATGAATGTATCTGTGTGTATTTACACACATATACCTATTTTATAGAATATAGAGATGCTCAAATCATTCTGGGAATAGAATTTTCCAACCACTGACTTCAAGATACTATCCTGGCCACCATATTTAAATGATTAAGAATTTGTTTCAGTTTGCTAACTTAATCTCTATCTGCTTTGACCTTATACATTATATCCCAAAAGTGTCCCCCTTGTCTCCTATGAAAACGTTTTAAATCTCTCATTTAAAAAATTTGTAGTTGTGATGGGTGAAGTAGAGTACACCTGCAATCCCAGCATTTTGTGAGGCTGTGCAAGGCAGGAAGATTGCAAATGCTGTCTGGGCAGTTTAGCGAGATTGTCTCAAAAAATAGAAAGGAATGGGGATGTAGCTCAGTGGTAGAATGGTAGAGCAGTGGGTTTCATCCCCAGTACCAGTGCCACCAAAAAAAAAAAAAAAAATGAGCAGTGGGTTTCATCCCCAGTACCAGTGCCACCAAAAAAAAAAAAAAAATTCTTAGTTGGGATCCTGGGGTTGAGAATAGGGGAAAACCTGATTAGGGTCTCAAAATAGCAACTCTTTATTATTTCACTTATTGATTCATTCACTCAACTGGTATTAACAGAGTTCCATTCAGAGAATTTGACTGGCACATGATTTTAGCACCACATAGCTATTTGATTTGGTTAAAGGCCTCAGTTTCCTTATGTACAAAGAAGTTGCTCTTTGATCTGTGAAATAGACAGCAAAACAGTTTTCTCACCTTAGTGAATGTCTTTGAGGCATTAGAATATGCCAGACAATAGCAATTAAAAGTTCATTTATCCTACTATGAAGCCAGTATGGGAAAGTAAACAGTATTATTGGGCTTCTTTCACAAGGAGGTTTGAAGAGATATCAAAGTTTTGAAGCAGCTATTCTTGTCATTTTAAACAAGAAACAACGGCAACAAGAAAGGTTAAATTAACACATAGTTCCACTTAACAGAGATATGCAGTAGGCAAACAGTATTGCATGCTAGAAACTCTGCGGCATTTATTTTAGTATATGGTGAACAAGCACAGTGTATAATGACAAGGAACGGCATCTGCAGAACTAGGAGTTTGAAAGGTGGGCAGCTGACATAAAAAAAGTACCCAAGCAAAGTTTGATCTTAGTCACCACTTAGGGGAATTAATATTCCACTCGATGCTCATGAGGCAAAGCATTTAAGGAGCGTGTTGTTTTCAGATGACAATGCCAGCTAGCCAGTCAGTTCCCCCGGCACACAGCCAGGCCGTTTGGGTTGAAGGGCTGCAGCACCTGGCAGCCGCCCGGCAGACCCCAGGCGTGGGGGAAGCAGTGCTGCACCTGTGCAGAGGCTGGGCCCAGCTGCTCCTGGGGTTGCCGTGGCGCGGGGTGGACGGTCACCTCCACTTTGAGCGGGTTCCTTATGACGTCCCTTGGCGTCTGTCTGAGGCAGGATTCCTCTGGGCCAGCTGGCGTGAGGTTCCACAGGAGTCACATGGACTTGGCCTGTGAGTCGCTGCCCAGAGCTGGTCCCATGTTTTTAATGTTTCTTAGTACAATATTTGGGAGAAATTGATTTCTAAGATTTGCTTTTATTTTATGAATGTTGTAAGTTTTGTGTAACTAGTGCTTCTCTTTTCCCACTAGAGTGGCAGGCCTGCCTGGGAGTGAGACAAAGCGAAGGATACCAGAATTCACATCATAGAATATTATACTATAAGACGAAGCATTGTACTCAAAAAAGTTTTAACAACAGGTCAAAATTAAGTTACCTTTAAAGAATCTTTTTTTTCATTAGTTAGGATGTAATGGTCATGTGTTCTGATATACCCAATTTGATGAAAGATTTTGTATGTGCCCAAGTCTCAGAAAAATTTCTTGTGCTCAGGGAAGACCTCTACTGTAGTATCTCAGGACTCTGGACAGTGGTTCAACTGCTGTGGGTGTAAGCAGACAGATACTAGTCCTTTCCAACTGGAAGTCAACAGGAGCAGATAGGGCTGGGAGGAAGTTTAATCTGGCAGGTGTAACAAGACATCCAAAGATGAAGGCCATAGTCTAGAAGGGTTTGTAATCCTAAAAATCTTGTCATCAATGCATACCTTGAGAGAGGCAATCAGGGAATCCAGAGATGGTGAACATAATAAAGCAAGTTTATCAACAGGTACAATGCCCCCAGTCTTCAGTTTAGAGATCAAGGATAAGACTTGAGTAAACTTTCAGGAATGTAGCTCAGTACAAAGGCCCTAGGTTAAATCCCCACTACTGGGGGTGGGGTGGGGAAAGAATAAGGCAGAATCCATCCCTGAAGAACTCTAGTGGGCAGGTTCCCAAGGCTCAGACAAGATCGGTTAGTGCCTGGGCTGGGGATTTGGCTCAGTGGGTCTGTCTTGCAAGCTCAAGGTCCCAAGTTTGATCCCCAGTACAAAAAAAAGGAAAGAAATAAAAGAGATCAGTTAGTGCTCAAAGAGAATATGGGACTTCAGAACAATACAGAAGCTTAGTCCTTAGACTTGGGACACAAAGATGAAGCTAGGTCATCCCCTGAGAGTTGGGCATCCCCTGAGAGTTGCCTAAGGTTAAAATTGTTCCTACAGATGAGATCTGAGAAAAACCTATACATTTGTAAAGTTCAGGAGAGCGAAGGGTGAAGCTAGTAGGGAATAAAGGACTTAAAATCTGGAAGGACTTGCCAAGGAAGCTGAGCTACTTTCTTTATTACAAAAAGTTTCCTAGGTGCTCTGGGAAGCCCAATAAAAATTATATGATTAGGATTTTTATGAGTAGTATTTGATCTATAATGCAGTGTTATATTTTGCTGAGCTTGATAGATTTTTTACCATTGAGATGTTTTTGGAAGAAAGTTTGAATCTGCTGCCAGGCATCCACCTGTGCCCTTGAGTGAGCCTTTGGGTCTCCTCCATAGAATATTGCTTTACCCAATAATGCATGCACAGACACTCTAGAAGGAGGAAAATAAGGTGGGTCAATACAGTGACCAGTCTTTGGATAACGGATTATCTGGGGTTTGTATTTTCCATGAGCTTGTAGCCATTCAGATGCTATATTAGCATAGAAGCCACTTTTCCAGTTATGATCATCCATGCCAACAATAAACAGGAAGGGTCCCTGGGCCTTTTCCAATGGAATAAGACTCTGGCGATTAGGTTCCTCCAGTGGATTGTTCCAAATATCCACCATATTCAAAAGGCCTGATTCAGTAATTTTTTGTTTCTGTAGGTCACTGTGGAGATCAGGAATAGTCATATCCTTGTAATGAAGAGGAACTAGTGTGTTGGCCACACAGGCATTGATAAGTACAGTGGCTGTGATACCTTTCAAGAAGGATGCCATTGAGAGACACAGGTCACCTCCTTTGGAGAAACCGAGAAGCCCAATAGTAGGACCTTTTACCTGATGAAAAGAGAGAAGAATAATAAGCTTAGAATTAACAAATGGAGGACATAAATAGCAATTTTATATTCTTTAAGTAACTTTCTCAAATATAATTTGTGTTCCTTATGCAATAATCTACAGAGTTCCAGTGTTTCTTCTATTGTCAATCAATTTATTTCCTAGTATACAAGCTATCCCCTAGTATTTATGAAGACTGGATCAAGAGTATAAAAGGGTCAGGTGTGGTGGCGCATGCCTGTAATCCCAGCACTTGGGAGGCTGAGGCAGGAGGATCGCTGTGAGTTCGAGACCAGCCTGGGCTACTTAGTGAGTTCCAGGTCAGTCTCAACTACATAGTGAGACCCTGTCTCAAAAAAGCAAAAAAAAAAAAAAAAAAAAAAAAAGGCTCTTATATGTAAGTTAAATAAACAATCTGTTAAATAAATATATTCTTCTTTCCTGCCTTGAAATCACCATAACCATTTATAAGGTCAGGTTCAAATAAAAATTTTTAGAATTCACTGGAATTCTATATTGGAGTGTGGCATGGAGAAGAGCCAGGCACTGACCCTAGAACCTGGACCTGGGCCCATCCTCTTTCTCTTCCCATCCTTGGCTCCTTTGTGTACCTTGAGGGGTTTCTCACACATGTGTTATACTCAGCCTGCGTGTTTAAGGCCTAGGTATACAGAAACTGATAGACCCAGAGAAAGAGCATTAAGGCCTGGAAACTGGATCAGCTCCAGGGTCTGGAGCTGTCAGAAAATTTTGTGGTTCCAGGTCCCAAAAGCATGGTGAGGACTATACAGTTCCTGATGAACACATTTCCATGACCCCTTAGACTCCTCACCCTATGGGTAGTGGTCCGGCCAAAGGAGGGCCAAAGGATAGCAATTTAAAACAAAGGAACCAGGCCAGAAGACCCTCTTTTCAAGGCAGAACTTGCAGTGTATATTGATCTCTTATTTTCCAATAAACTAAATACACTAACCATAGTTTGATCATCTAAATTTTAGCAGCTCTGCTAAGAGACCAGTCCCTGGACTGCAAAAAGGTCAGACTATCCTGTACCCCTTATAAAACACCTTCCTTCTTAACTTTAAAAGGTCTGGGTCTCTTTAAACTTATATACCATTTATAATCATACCAAAATGTTTTAATCTATGAATTTTCTGCTATCAGATAAAGACATCTGAAATAAAACTATAACACTATTCTCACACTTAACACTAATAGCTATTTCTTAATATCACCAAAAACACTTCCTATTCAAATTGCCTCAAAAATGTCTCTTTGTAGTGAAAACTTTCTCACTATGCATTTATATCAATACTATAAATGAGAAAAATTAAGCCCCAGAGTTTATTCATGATGGTAAGGCCACTATGTGGCACATGTAGAACAAGGACTCAAGGTTAGTATTTTCTTAACCCAGTGCTCTTAGAATTATAGTAAATACAAAGGGAACTAAATAGTCAAGTCTTAAGAGATAGGGAGATGGTAAAGATAGAAATAATAATTTTAGTCACTTCTAAGGGAGCCCTGTGTCTCCATGCATATTTCCAGCCCTCAGTGTCCTGGTAGGGTTTCTAGGTCCAGTGTGTATTCACTCTACCCTCTCCTTAGGTGAGCCTCAGATCCGACCTTTGGGTGTTTACCTTTGGGTGCTGAAGCATAAAGCCTACTGCTTCTTCAAAGTACTCCAAGTGCAAGTCACTCAAATATTCTGGAAGGTCCTCATATCTGAAGTAAGCCAGAGCAAGCACAGCAAAGCCATGTCCAGCCAAGAGGCTGGCTCTGTATTCACAAAGGCCACCACCACTTCCAAACAAGTCAATGATCCCAGGGAAGCGGCCCTTGCCTGGAGAACACCAGAAATCAAAGAAATTTTATCTTCTCAAAAGATGTCCTGGGTTTAAGATTTGGGCAGTCAGCAAGTAAAGTTTATGAAGCTAGAGAGGTTGAGGGAGGAGGTTGGTGAAAGAGGACCCTATTTACTTTACTTCTTTGTTTTGTTTTAATAACCCATAGAGAGAAGGGAAAGGGAGCAAAATCCTCTATTTTCTCCTAAATTTGTCATATATTTTCACAAATAATAATATAAATAAACCAAGTTAGAAATAGCATGTGATGAGATGTATGATTTTTCTACCAACTGTCCTTTCTCAAAAATAGTATCTGAGAATGCTTTGAGAGCTGTAACATGTGCTATATATACAGGGATCATTAGAATACACTCTTTACCTCCTTATACTGCCCACTCCAGCCTTAAAGAACACCATTCCAAATATACATGCTATTTTTTGCCCTGAATGTTGATATATACAGTTTTCTTGGCCTACAATACTATTCCCTCTCCTCCCACTTTTTAAATCTGATTGACTCTTTAGTCTTTGACTCTAACTTTAAGTTTCTCATGAAAGCTTTTCTAGATTCCCCCCAGGCTGAGTGGGATTATAGAGCTCTTTATATGTTTCCACCAGCACACTGGGTCTGTACCTCCTCTGTCATAGAGAAATCACCTAATGGGCTAAAGAAAAAATTTCCCAGAACAAGTTAAATTCTTTCACCAAGCTTAGAATTATTTTTTTCTCCTGCTTGATTAAGTTGCACACAACTGCTAGCTAGGGACTCCCTATACTCTTCTTTTCCTGAAAACTCCTTAGACCTCTGCCACAGGGAGAGGTCACACCTGGGGTGATAACAGCCAGAAGAGCATGTAGCAAGAACTGACCACAGCAGGACATGGATCAATAGAATTTTAAAGTCATTTATATTTTCTTTAGATTCACAGGCTCACTGACTTTCACATAAGTAAGATTAATAAACAACACTGGTGTCCACCTGTCTGGGACCCATGCCTTCCCTTGCAAAAAATCAAAATCTCAAGCTTGAACAGCAAGTTGGTCACTAAGATTGTTTGACCCATCATCTTCCAAGCCAACTTGTTGTTGGTAAAACTTTTTCTTCTCCCATCACTCTGTCTCTTGAATCACTGGCTTTATTCAGTAGCAACATAATGGGACCTTTGTCTAGGTTACAGTAGCATTTGCCACACTATATTATAGGTACAATGGTATTTGCCAGGATTCTCTGTTGCACTTACAAATGTAATGAGGTCCATGTTTAAATGGGGCACATAGTAGGCACTGAAATAGTTAACACAAGACTGACACTGACTTGCGTGGAATATGAGATAGCACAACTAAAACATTTTTTAAAAAATTAAAACTTTTAGAAGATTCCAAATGAATCAGTGTGATTTATTGAGCTCCTACTACATTACTGTGAAAGACTCCAGCAATATAGAGATATAGAAATGTGTAAAGCCCAACACCAGTGTTAGCAGTTCACAGTGTAGTGAGCAGCAGCCTGTAGTTAAATTCAAGAACTGAAGAGGAGCTGCAAAAACAAAACACTGTATTATTTGGGAAAATAATTAGAGTTCAGCTCAGGATCTCTGCGCACTGTGGCAACTCTAGCACTTTTATCTACTAGGGGTTTAAGTTAAGAATTTGGTTGGAAGGGGTGGATCAGAGGTCTTCTTTCTAGGCTGCTTCTACCTCACCTGCTCCCTTTTTTTTCCTAGATGGAGGTTTTTCAACCTTAGCACTACAGCCATTCTGAGCAAGGTAAATCTTTGTTCTGGTACCTGTCCTATACACCATGCAGTTTAGCTAAAACTCTGACTTCTACCTGTTAGATGCCAATAGCACATCCCCCTTCATTTATGACTACCAAAACAGTCTCCAGATATTGTCAAATGTCCCCAAAGTGGCAAAATCACTCCAGGTTGAAGTCATTGATGATATGTTAGGCAGAAGTGGAGGGTCCAGGAATTTTGTGTTTCAGTGATTATGGGACACTGGCTCTATTAAGGCTTTACTTCTTTGGAAAGGAGGCAAAAGTCAACTTTTGCACCCAGACAAAAGTTGCGGGAATCCGCACGAAGGGGAATCTCAATATAAGTGGAATGCACTTCTCAACATGTGGCTAAGGGCTCGGTAAGGCCTCCAACGAGTGCCATGAAACAAACTTCCATTCAGAACATGACAGACACTGCTAGCGGCTTAGAGAAGTTCCACAACCATGTTTTTAAAGGCACAGGGACCAGGTTAATCTCTGAACAGCAAGTATCTCACCTGGCGGCAGGAAGAGCGTGGCCCGCACCCGGCCCTCCCGCACGGGCACGCGCCGCACCCCGGGGGCCAGGAA